TTGATGTATTTAATAATAAAATAAAAAAATATGATGATTTTTTGCAATTTTTTTCAAAAAAATTTGTAAGGGAAGCGGTTAATATATCCTTCAGAACTGGTAGCTGTACAAATTGCAGTATTTAATGAGCTACTAACATCTGAAAAAAGAATTTCTGAAGCTAGTTTCAACAAATCACAGATGAAATTAAACATTACTGAATAGGCCTACACTTATGTTTCTAGATCATTATAATCATGTTATTCATCACATTTCTCACTTTCTAATGGCTGCTTTCTCTTATTAAGTTGATTTTACAGGGTCAACATTTTCAAAAAATTCATGCTATCTAAAATGATACAATGGCTAGCATATGATAGATACTTGAACTCAACATATGATACACTACCAACATTTCAAGAAATGTCTAGAGCTGTAGATTAAGTATGTGCATTCATATGGCTGTTACTTTGAAACTGACTGGGTAACAGATCTTTCACTTTAGGGAGAACTGCTTTAAAATCCTTTTCTGCAAACATTTTGAACACAGAAGTGCAAGGAGGGAAAAAAATCCTCATTTAGTCAAGGCAGAATAAGTAATAAAGGCTTTCCAGTTTACTAAAAAGTGTAAATATATAATTATACATCAGCAGTGAAAATTTAAAAAAACTATAAAATGTATATACATTACCTGACATTGAAAACGCTATATACCAAGAAGAAGTGGCTCAAAAATGATACAGACTTCAAGGTAGATGCACATCATAAGGTTATGCGAATAATGTGAAATGCACAGCTGTCCAGGGCACGTTGAAGACGATATAAGGGAAGGAACCTGCAGAATGTTCAATTTTCATGCCATTGCTTTTGCTAGGGAAATCATTGTGGAAAATTTGTTCTTGTCTCCGAGGACGTGTATAATAGCAGAGCACGCCATGCCATCATCAATGGAGGCAGTTCCAGCAGATAGACGATTTTTATAACGGGCATGGTGATTGCATCGAAAATGACAGGTTAATCCATATGTCAAACTTCAGCTGACACATACCTAGATGCATCCAAAGTAAACCAGCAGTGGAAACGATGGTTGGAGCAAGGAAATGTGGCAAGTTTGTGTCAGTGTAGCCAGAGTGACATCAGCACACGTAGATAGATGCATCTGCCAACAAGCTGTGATGTACCATTCTGCAGCATATTTCAAGACACCTTGGATATTCCCATATCGACCAGAACCGTTTGTCATTGATTGGCGGCTAGTGGCCTGCCCTTGTGGCAACCGTTAAAAAGATTGCTACTGACTCCATATCATACACGGCAATGTCTGCGATGGTGTCAGGCTCGAGCAATGTGAATGATGGAACGGCACAGGGCCTCGTTCTCCGATAAGTCACTCTTCTATACAGCCTACCAAGCAACAATGTGGCATCATGGTTTGGGGCACAATTGCATATGATTCCAGGTCACCTCCATTTCGTATTCAGAGCACTATGACAGCAAAATGATATGGGGGTTATGTGCTGTGGCCAGTGACACTCTCCTATTTTCAAGGAGTGCCCAGTGCCCTTTATCAGCAGGATAATGCCAAACTACACACTGCTCCCATCAGCCAACATGCTCTGCAAGGTATGCAGATGCTTCCCTGGACACCGTTCTCTCCTGATCTCTCACTAATTGAAAACATTTGGTATGTAATTGGAGACCATTTGCAGACCCTGGCATAGCAATGTTCAGAAGATGAACTGTGGCAAATAGTTCACAGGGAATGGAGAGCCATTCCTCAGGACACCATCCATAGTCTCAATCACTCTGTACCTGGATGTGTTGCTTCATGTATCCCCTTCCAAATGTGGTCCTACTTCCTCCTCCTATTACTACATCTACATCCTACCCATCAAGGTGACTTATATTGGTCTAAGGTCTTCATTGACAAGGGGGACCAGGTTATCCTCCAAGTCAATCCTACTGAGCTGATGCTGTTCTTGCTCTGTATTATGCATATAATTTCGAAATAAAGATCACTTATTGTTCATTGCTGTCTGTCTTCTTGCAGTTTTTTATCACTTTCTGGCCACTCCTTCTTGGTGTTGCATTTTCAATGTTGGGTAGTGTAATTTAAATGGATTTAAAGCTACAGAACAATGAAATTGCAGAAGATCTGTATTTATTCAAGCCTCAAATACGTTCAAAAGGCAGTTGCATGTTTTTGTAAAAAAAAAAAAAAAAAACTTGAAAATATATATAATGAACTGAAAGCCTTTAGATTTTACATTATGCCTAAGTGAGATTTATTTTAACGTTTTGAGTGTTACCTTTATTTATTAAATATGATGTTCTTCCCACTTAAACAATAAAATTCAATTCAACAGCAATACCACAAAATAATTTTAAAATGAGCATATCTTTAGAATCCAGTACACAGTCTCACACATTCGAGATAAAAATGTTTCTTCTCCGTGCAGTGTTGCCATTGCTCACTTTGAAATCGTTGAGTTTGTTACACAAACATTCATTAAACTTTTACAAAATACAAAATAGTTAATAAAACAAATTCCAAATTTGGGCTTCCAGTTGCCCATATTTGGGTGGAAATGTACGTTACTCGAAATTTAATGGCTCTATGTACCGTTGTTTTATCACAATGCAAGAAACATACATACCTTTAATGCAGATTCTTCATTAATTTCTCTAAATATAATACAGGGCTCTAATATTTGGTGGCAACAATTTGAAAAGTGAACTGACATTTATAGTGAATCAATGCAAAATGGCAAAACGAAATTAATAGTCCTTCTGGGCAAATTGCCCCTTTGAATTAATAAGAATGTAAGACATGATACTGAATAGCATTTTAGCTCCTGGAGTGTGCTAAGTGAGGGCTGCAGAGATGCAAATTGGAATCCCAGTGTGTTCCACTAATTATCAGCCAGATTTAAATCTGAAGACTATGCTGGTAGTTCCATCCAATATATTCTTTCACTCTAAAGATAGTGCAACATAATGGTCACTAGTGCAACATAATGGGGATCGGCATTAGTATCCATTATGAGAATATTATTAACGATCCATCTCAAACAAAATGACCTAAAGATCAAGAAATGTGTCTCTGTATATTTCAACATTTATAACTGCAGTGGAAAAAAATGTACAGATTAATGCATCCATTTGAAATGATGCCTTCCATTACCATGAGTTTACTGCCAATGTTTTGCATTTTCCATATTGTAACACACCTGGAATCATTCTCTAAATAAAGGCAGGACTTATCAGGAAAGAAAACGTGGCTCCAATCACATGACTACTTCCCATTACAATAGCCTGAATTAGTGAGATTCAAATCATGGGTTTCTTTGAAAACAGCCTTCTTTTATGTAGACTGGCAATCAAGTATATCTGGTTCTTGCATTTGAAGGAAAATCCTTTGCATGATTAGTTCAACAGACAAATTGTCTGATTTCTTTTAGGAATCATTGCCAAATAATGGTCTTGAGGGTCTGCTATGACACATTTTCGATCTTCACCCGGTTGTCTGCACACACAATCAATGTCTTTAACCTTCCAGCATGCACGTATGCACAAAATTTATGACAAAGTCAATTTTTAATGCACATTTTTCGCATATCGAAGCTGAGACGTCTGAAGGTCATTTATATTCCTCCTTTCTACCCTTCCCCACATCATGGAATGTGCCAACAGGAAGTCATTTGATTTTTTTTAACTGGGCTTTAGTGATACGTGGCAGCTTTTTCATAAAAGTTAAGACACGCGCGTGGTCGTGTTTTAAAATTCGTAAAATTTTTTTTTCTCTAATATTTTGTAATTTTATGTTATTAATTGCAGTGTATTATTTTAATTTGAATACATTTGGCTCTGTAAATTTTATATTGGTTTTCATGGCAAAAAAATATCTGCAACCTGCTGATTTTGCTCGGCTTCTTCAAGAATTATCTGATGAAGAAAAAGGAAGACAAGGAAACCTTTGGATGGGAGAACAATAGCGATTTCCATTCCTTATTTTCTTTTACTTCTATTTTTTAGAAATAAATAAAAACATTAAAGTTAGTTTAAAGTGCGTTTTTGTAACCAGTAAGAAGTAAATTTCCTTGCAGAAGTAAATAATGCTAAACTTACTTTTTTTCCTACCAAAATGTTTTCCTTTTTTATTGCCCATACTAGTCTTTGATGAATATTAAAGTTAGCTCCAATTTAAAAATATAATTAGTAAATAATAAATTTAAAATTTTCTACAATGAAATACATCATTGCAGTTCCATCCCATTAAAATAAGAACTTAAAAATAATTTACTTATATTTGAATGTGATATCATTTGTATTTTGCAATAATAAGATTAATAATTTATTTCATAACAAATTTATTATCAATATTAACTCATTTCTGTTTTTCGTGCCAAAAACAGTAAAATAATGGATGTCATAAAAAATATGACGCGCGCATGCTCATGTAAAATTGCCAAGTGCGTGTGCCGGAAGGTTAAGCTGTTTCCAGATTTCTGACATAATGCTTGGGGTGATTTTTAGGCCTTTATAGAACTACGACAGTGCCTCTCTTGCATCTATTCCTCTAATCTCCTGCAATTTCTCAAAATTCTTTAAATGCCTTTGCAAGGATACATTCGACCTTTCACATGTGAAAGTGTTATCGAACTAATCATACAAGAATCCTCTTACACTCTTTCACACATGGCAAAAGAATAAGCATAAAAATTTACATGCATCTGTGTAGAAACGTTGAATTCCACTGGACTGCAGGATAATATTGACCTTGAGCTATCAACCATCTATCACTGGACACTTAATATAATTAGCATAAGACATATTTTTATAGTTGCTCCTTTAGTTTTTCTTGCCAGTTCAGATATCCAACTGAGGTTAAAATGAAAGTAACTACTTCATTGTTAAATGTTACAGCAAATGCCTCATTAAAATTATGACAACCATACATGAAATGAATATTTATACTTAAATTCAGATATATGTTATACTGAAATACTTTAAAAATATACCTTTATGAGCATCTTTTCATCTAAGAAAAATTCTTCAGACCATAACTGAGTATCTAAAATACCAGTAACAGATAAAGTCATATTTTTGCATTGTTCAGGTGATAAGAGAAAAGCTGGTGAGCTGCTGCAGGGAGAAAGGGATTTGATGAACTGTAAACTTGATGCTAAACCTTTCTGAGATGTAGGAACATGAAATTTACATCGCAGCTGAACAGGAAAATTAAGCTCACTGTGAAATGTGAGCTGGCCATCTACAATCACCTAAAAATATATTTGCATATAGGTATAAAAAAAGAAGGTATTAAAGTAATTAAAACACAATGAAACTGTTACATCACACATTCAAGAGCTTTTAAAATTAATGAAAATGATGAATGGTAAGCAAATGAAATTTTTACATAGCTCTCTTATTATTAGGGCCAGGAATATGGAATTACAATTAATACATCTGAAGAAACAGCATATGAAAAGTGATGATAATTATGATCAAATTGAATAACTACATAATTAAAAAAATTTCATAACTAGCTCCTTTTAAATATTTAAAACTGTCCTGATTTTAAAGTAAATGTTTAGGACAAGCTGCATTTAGGGAAAAAAATAAGAGGCATAATTTAGTTAAAGATGAATAGCAACAATCCAAACAGAGAGAAATTTGGGACTACAGGATATACTTTTTCACTATTAAACTGCATGCTTGTGTACAATTAACACAGTTTTCTCCACTTTACAAAGAAAACTTTTCACAAGAAAAAATTACATACTTAAATAAGCAGTTACCATTAATTTAAACGGAAATAACATTTAAATAATTTTAGACATCATACAAACTTAACAATAATTTATTAATGCAGAAAATTTAAAATAACATTAAAAGTTAGATTCATACAATACATATATAGTCAAAAACAAACAGAAGCAATATATGGGATGTAAAATTAGGTAAATATGAAACCTTATTTTAGCATAGATTTTGAATAAAACTGTATTGATTTCGAAGGCAATCAGCTACAAATTCATCTTCTTAAAGAGGTAAAAAATCTTTTGTTTAATAAATAACGCTAAAAATGGGAAAAACACTTTTTGGCAAAAAATGATTTGTTGCTCCTGAAGAGGGGCATGTGCCTGATCGTACTCAAAAATAATATAGTTATATTCAAAATCTACACCAAACTATTTTGATTTGTGGTCTAATTTTAAATTTTACAATGGCATGGACTTAAATATGGCAACTATGCCTGATTAATTAAACCTACATATATTTTCATTAGTAATTTCCTGACAGACAAAAACAATAAAAAAAAAACTGCTCTAAATCTGCATAGTCTTACACTATTAGTTAAACTTGTCTCCAGTCAATGCATAAAATAAACACTGAACAACATTTTCACTAAAGTGAAGAACATCCTGTGAGTATTTTTAGGAAACAAGGTATTAATTACTGGATGGGGGAATAAATAAATCACTGACTCACTCACTCAATGAATGAGTGCAAGCTTGCCCTTATGTATTAATTTATGCATACAGATAGAAAATTACATAATTTTAAAATTAGAAACAAAATAAAAACACATAATATTTATGCAATAAACAATAGCAAATATTGTCTTATAAAGGAACATTAATTACTTAAAAATCATATAAATCACCTAAAATACATCTCTATCGCTGAAATGATTAAAAAAATTAAACAGAATTATGAATGCACAAAACAGAATATTTCAAATGAGCTTTTCACATAATTTTATCATAATGTAACAAGTATATCAAAGATAAACTGATAAAGAGACATAACTGCCCTTTACCTGCTTTTGATGATTTGACAACTGCTTTATTCGTATAATAACTGTTAAATTATTGTCAAGAACAACTCTCTGAATTCCTTCAACATCTATACTGAAATCAGAACTCCATTTCCAGTGCAGACTTCCAATGCTCAGGCGCAACATCTATGTTATTATGAAAAAGATGCTCTTAAAATGTGTAATAAATATTAAAACTGAAAATTCCATTTTCTGTCGTAAATATTTGATATGCATTTTACATCACACAAAAATATTTCAAATAAAAATAGAGTCTGAAATATGAAAATACTAATACAACAATAATTATTGACATTCCCAGCAGGAACATCTTAAAACATCTAAGCATTAAAAAACACTATCCGACTGCAGAGTTATACATCACTTTTCATAAAGGGTACAGTGTAATTAACTGTTAAATACATCTAAATATTCATTTCTGACTATAGTATTCATTTCTGCCAGATAGTGTCACAAAATGTTAAAACACTTTTTAATGCAAATGCAAGCACAAGCACAAACTATTTAGTTGCCTGTGTGCACTATCAAATGTAACATTTGAAAATTTTTCATTAAAATGTTGTTTTAATACTTCCAGTAATTCAAGGTCAGCTCTCATTTTATACTTAGCATTATTACCAGATTTGTATTCTCCTTTATTAATTGTCTACAGTTACTGGGCCTTGCTAATAATTTAAGCCATATACAGTAAATAGATCATACCCCTCAGATATCATGTGTTGCAATAATCCTCCCCCCTCCCGTCTGTTTTGGAAAAACAATCCTTATTTGTAGTTCAACTGAGGCTCAGTTTTCTATTTAGACCATGACTAGCCATAACACCAAGTTCAACTATGTGGTTGTGGTCATTGAATATGAAATTTTATTATCCATTAATGATCATATCCTTATCCTTCCAACCACAAAGCATTAAAAAAAGACTTATCGAAATTTACAGAAGTAAACATGCCAAAATCAGAAAACTGCTATAAGACCTAGAGCCTGGTGACCAAGGCCTGTCATATCTCTGAACGCGCATGTGAGAACTAGAAAGACATGATTTCAGCGACTCTATTTCGAAATTTTTATGGTTATCTTGATTCCTTCAAAATATTCAAGCTATTCTCGATGCTTCAAATTAAAAGCCAATTAATCATTTTTCCATGGCTGATAATATTGTGGAATTTTTCTCGTTTGTAAATACAGCCAACTGAAATCACTTTTCACAATGTTTTGCTGCAACATATTTCTCAGCTGGTCACACACGCGCAAGAACTGAATACTGAATTTGAAAACTTTTTTTCAATCATAGCCCCGACATTTTCTTTTTCCCTTTCAGCACTCAAGAAACTGAACAAATTCTCGATCCCGCCATCATAATTCCCATGGTAATTATATTAACATACCTCCAAATTTGGTGATACAGGGGGGAATGCAGATTTCTTTGTTTGCACAACATTATTTACATAAATAGGCGGCGACTTCTGGCCAACACCCTTGATCGCCATATCAATCTATTTTCTCGCCTGAATCTCCATCAATATTAAAACTTTTGATTGACAAATGGAGTGGATGTGTTAGTGTTCCCAAAATCTTTTGCTGACAAGCAATGGTGTAAATAGAGTTTACAGGCCCCTATGCAATAACAAATTTCTGGGCCCCACTCCCCATAATTTACACTACTCCAGAAAAAAGAGAAAAAGTGAAGGAATGGAAACTTTCATCAAGTTGTACCCAGTAAGTCCCTCCCACCACCTAAAAGATTAGACTTTTTCTGCTGAACATTCTCTTGAAGGAACATCATCTCTATATGGTCACGAATGTGTTTTCAGTCTTGCATCCAAATCAGCCTACAAATTTCATGAACCCTATTTTGTACAAAAACTCCTCAACTATCATCATCTTTCGATACCCATCGTAAAGCTGTGGTAGAAACTGGCCTGAAATCTTTGATGATGTTTTGAAGTTTGAAGCTCATTTTCACAAATTCAACTAAATGTGAATCGAGACAGCATGATAAAAGCTCTGACCTGAGTATAGGTATTTCACGCAAAGGCGCCACTCTCTATTTTGACATCAGTAACTGGTTAATCTGAACTAAGATCAGACTAACATCTCAAGTAAACAACAGCAGGATAAGAAGTCCCGCAGGCATCCAATAAGGTGTGTAGACTCACTTCACAGTGCTCGGGAAGAAAATCATCTCTGGGAATTTCCACAGTGTAGCAGATGTAGATCCCCTGCCTATTTTGGAATTTTTTTTTTTTAATATCATCAAGTACCTCTGAATTCCAGCTCAGTTTAGATTTTCAGCTTGCCTGAAGCTTAAGTTTCAGTAACAATGAGACTGGACAAGAAAATCCAATTGGATCAAAAATCTTTCGTGTGAGAGATCCTATGTTCCGTTTTGTAACATTATCTCAGTTTTTATCTATGGTGGGTATGCAGCATCTATGCATACCTTTCGACCTATTCCATGCTAAGCCTAATGCAGAAGACATCTCTGAATCAACACTTGAACCGTTACAGAATAATTTTGATTCTTGCATATCGGTATGCTCCTATTCTCTCAGGTCAAAGTTGGATTCTGCTATAATCTTTACTTGAAATCTCTTAAAACTGTTTTAATTATTCCTTGGTTTTAACTGAGGTGATGCAGTTGTCCTTGTAAAAGAAAGAACAGATTTTCAACAGCTTTACTAGTGAAAGATATGAGTCAAGGGAGGTTTTTATCTCATCAAATTTATCATCTTATCTCAATTTGGAAGTAATGAAATTTAAATGTCGTTCTGCCCTTTTCTATTACTTAGTAGGTCCACTTACCTTTCTAGCAAGGAAGATTAATTTAATACATTCCATCATCATTAACATGAACAGTCTCTCTAAAACGATGTAACACAAAGTTGCTCAACTCTTCTTTGTTTTTCCACTCATAGGGATCAATAATACTTATGGCTTCAGATCATACAAATTAGTGATATTATCACTTCGAACTAACAGAAATGTGATGCAATGATTAACATACCTCTCTATTGGTTTTCCTATTATTAACCATCCCAAATGTGTTTTCATAACAATGAGCCAACATTTCAACTGATATGCCAATCTAACAAAAAGTTTATAATTAGGTTGCAGTGTATAATACTGAGAAGACACTAAAGAGTCAGGATGAAAAGCCTTTCCTGATACCTGCCCTTTTCACCTGCAAAGACTGTACTGGTAAATCTGAAGAGTTACTTAATTGCATTTACCATGGAGAAAGCAAGCTCCTCTGAGCATTCAATGATAAGCATATTGTCAAGCATGATACAGGAGATTCATTTGTTGTCAAGATACTTTCATTACCAGCTGAATGAGAGCTGCTTATCAAGAAGCTAAATGACAGTCTTATAAAAATAGTTGAAATCGAGATGGGAAAATGCTCACCAGTGAATCTCCTTTACCTTGTATCTTTGATGGTACACCAAAGAAGGTAGTATTAAGTTTGTAAGCTTTCCATTTCAAGAGAAATGAAAGTTCTACTCCAGGAAAACATAATTTTCTTTTCAAAGATCACTAAAGTTCTGACACTGTTATGGATGAACTTCATAGAGCTCATCAAGGGATACCTATCATTAAGGCTCTAGCTCATTCCTATATCTGACGGCTTGAAATATTGCATTCTAGAATCAGCAGTTCACAAATCAGTCATCTGTAAGAAAACTGCTCCAGTTCTATCACCTACAGAAGTCTCTTCACCTGTTGAGAAACAGCACTGGGAACACATTCATATTAACCATACAAGCCCAAATGATGGTCCTACGACGTTCATGCAGATTGATGCAAAAATAACAAGGACAAAAGTAACACCTAGTCCTTTTCCACTTTTGCTTTTCAACTATAATACCACATCATAATTCATTTGCTCAAGTTGGCATACCAAAGATTTCAGTAACAGATGATAGTACCGCATCCCGTAGCACTGAATTTAGATAATTTTTAAGTCTGAATGGCATTATATGTATTTTAATTACATCATATGATCCAAAATCAAATAGATTAATAGAAGTATCTGGCCATGGAGTTGAATCTTCATCGAGGAAAGTAATAGAACATTTGCAGACCAGTAACATATCTATTCTGTCTTAGTAATACATCTTTAATTATTACAAGCATATCCTTTGCAGTCACATGGATATGAACCAGTTACCCTTAGAAAGTCAACCACAAAGGCATCCCTTGCCTTTGGCAAATAACCCTTGTGTGTTTTACCACAATTAAATAAATCAAAACAAACCTCAACAGTTAATCTGATCAATTGCTAACCTTTACTACAAAGATATACGATCAAAATGCATATTACCTACTAATCTAATACAGAAAGAAAAAAATAATAATAATTAGGCATTACCTTCTACAGAACTGCACTAATTTCCTCTTACCCCCAATTTTTTCTCTTGATTCTTAAAACAAAATATTTACTACTTTACTGCAATAAAGCAAAGTATGGTGTTATTGCTTTTTTAATTATATTATAGGCATACATAGTGAGATGAGATAGAAATTACACTTAACACAAAAACTGATAGAAATTCCATTCAGTATAAAAAATGCTCCTTTAAATGAAATGAGGGTACCAAATGACAGTGAGAAATTTTCAGCTTTCTGCCGATTGGTGATTAGTACAGAGTTATGATGCTCCATTTTCAAATCATGTTTATATGCTTGTAACTCGTTGCATATGCACACTTGCCCAATGATAACTAACTGATTTATCTGGTTTCCAACTTATGTTTTAATCAATTTTATATGGAATTTTGTTTTCCCAGAATAAAAAGGTATACCTTTATTTAAGTATTTATCATCAATATGGGATTCTTGTCATATTGATAAAAAGGTACACCCCTATTTAAGTATTTACCATCAATATGAGATACTCCTAATATTGATGACACATAATCCAAAATTGAAGTTTCATAATTTTATGCATATGTATGAAACTCAAAATGCATACCTGCTTACTTTTATGACACCACCAGCTATATGCATGCACTTTTAATGGAGATAAAATAACATACTCTTCAGTGTTTGTCTAAAAAAAGTAAATTTCAGGAATATTAGAAAAATTAACATGCACATTTTACAGACTACAATTTAGCAGATGTAATTCATCATATAAATTAAAAACACAAGCACATAATTATAAAAGAATCTAACTTAATATACCTGTCCAAAACGTATGCTTTCATGCAGTCTGTTACAAATCAGATAATAATTTGGCAGAATATATTCAGAACAAAAAAAAGGTGAAGAAAGAAATTCCTAGAAATTAATGAATAAAACAATATATCGTTTGAAAATCAATTTAGCACATACATAAAAAATTAATAAATGCAGAAAACATAATGAAATAATATAGTTTAAGAAGTTGCACCCTGCTATCTCAGTATAACAAAGGTCTACTTTACAACAAGAGGAATCTATATCATAATGAAAATGAAGAAATTAAACTCACATTTTAAGGAGACCTCCTAATACACTCAACTAAATTAATTCTGTGCACCAGAGTAAATACATTCTTTTTCCACATATGAATACACAATACAATAGAATTATCCGAATCATTTTAAAACAGATCCCATTCGGAATTGGATTTTTTTTTTTTAAGAAAGGGTCTATGCACGCTTTAATTCATTATTGTATGTACTGTATGTTTAAAATGGGAGAAAAACCTACTTTTAAAGAAAAAGTGGTTTTAATTAATTAAAATGAAAAAGCAACACTTTTACATACATGTTACATAGTGTACTGTACAGTACTTACAAGTGCTAAAGTCATTGCTTGCTGAACATCTTGTTCAAAATAAGCTGTTTGACTGTTTTTATCCGTTTTGGGGCAGCCAAGTTCCACATCAGCTTGAAAATGAGAAGATGCATGTGGTCACAATTGGGCTGACGCTCCATTCACTTCAATGCAGTTTCAAGCCCGGCAAAAGCTTCACTAGCTGATGGTTCTGTGTCTGCTTCAACTTCAACATTAAGGTCATCTTCCTGGACACTTTTTTCTCTTACACTTTCAATAAGTTCATCATCATTTAGAATTTGAAACCCAGGGTTTGATGAACCACACACAATCCACTCTGTTGTATCTTCAGTACAAAACTTTTGAACATCCAGAAATTTTCAAAAGAATGTTTCTTAATTCCTCAAGTAACACACCATCCTCATCTTCTCCTGTCTCTTCCCTTTCCTTGAGCTTCTTTTTCCTTTTTCTCTTTTTCCTTCTCTTCTTCAATTGATATGCCTTTTAAATTTTCCATGCACATCTTAATGTGACTGTCTTAGCCAAGCTCCAAGCTTTCGCCACCATGTAAGTGCAATCTTTAAAATGCAATTTTTGTGGTTAGCCAACACACCTTTCTCGTCTTAGCTCTCTACTAAAGGTTTCCTTCTGTAATGATGTTTCATGGTTTCAATAACAGACTGGTCCATTGGTTCCAACAAGCATGTAATGTAACATTTGGAGGTAAAACGATTACTGTAACCTGGCCATTCCCTCTTTCCAACAATTCTCTGGTGGGGTGAGTTGGTGCATTATCAACAATCAGAAGCACTTTACGGCCTTCTTTTTCCTAGAGATTTTTGGTGCTTTTTCATTTCAGGGATGAAAATATCGTCATACCACTCAGTATACAATGCTGCAGTCCTCCAAGCCTTAGGTTGGTTTTTATAAAAGAGGGGAAGCTTTTTCACACTTTTAATTGCTCTTGGGCTTTTTAACTTCCCTATCAACATAAAGCGTATTTTATGGCTTCCTGTAGAGTTCGCACAGGTAAGCACTGTAACACGGTCTTTACTATCTTTATGTTCTGGAGCACTACACTTTCTTTTAGATGCTTGTTTCTTTTAGAAGTGGTTTTAGGCAGAGCTTTAAAAAAAAAAAAAGACCGGTTTCATCAGCGTTATACAAAAATTCAGGATTGTAGGAGTCTGCTACAATTTTCAAAATAATCTTCTGCAGCTTGAGTGCTGATAACTTCTCACCACTTAAATCTACTTCATAGACACCGTGCATGCACTTAAAATTTCTTAGCCAGCCATTATTTGCTTTAAAGGATGAAGAACCAAGCTTCTGAGCTAAGATCTTAGATTTTACATAAAGAATCGGATCGAAATTGGGTTTCCTGTAGAACATTGCAAAAACCACTTGAAAAACAACATCTTCTATTTTTTTTTTTTTTTTTTTTTTTTTTGGTTGCTGCCTTCATTAATTATATTGAAGAACTTCCACCTTTGTTTTCAAGCAGTGAAACAAAGTTTAAAAGTGTAGGTTTGCTCCTTTTAATGTCTGAAATCATTGATTGTCAAATGCCGAACATTTCTGCCAACTGTTTACCCGTAACTCCTTTATCTGACTGCTCTATAATTTTCAGTTTATCCGCTAACGATAACACAACACATTTTCTTTTAGAAGCCATGGTGAATGACGAAATGAAGTCACAAACATAACAATTCGCCAACACAAAAGAGTACCTTCACGGTACTGTAGTAGGTCAACAACATACTAGTAATCAAAATGAACAGTAAACAGGTGGGCTGGGCAGCCACCTGTCAGTGGACGACAGTACTGCAGCCAATAACAGAACTGCAATATGACTCATCATGAGACGGTGACTCATCATCCCAATAATGTCTGCACTAGGCTTACACTAGCTTCGCGGAGGGAAGGACAATAGCATGTGTAAACAGAATCATTCTTTTGCAAATTGAAGTACATTTCTGTCTTAATCTGAAAGCTATTTGGATAGTCGGAGTTCAGATAACTGGAGTTGTACTGTAAATCCACTAAAATTTTGAGTTAAAATAAAGAAGTTAAATGAGGTTAGGCTAATATAAAGAATAAACAAAAATGGTGGGAATAAAGGCCACTTTCTGATTTTTTATCAGTGCATTAGGGTTAAAAGTTATATCACTTAAGAATAGGAACTGAGAATTAAACTCACATTTCACTGAAAATGAAGGGTTTTGCAATGAACAAAACCCAGTATTAACACAGAACAAAGAAATTACAACATGAAATTCAGACATAAAATATATGGACCTCTGAACCAACCACCAGCAAAAAAGATTTTCTGGAGGATTTTTATTACAAAACCTAGGAATAGGAAAATTTAACGTATAACGATAAAAAAAAAAAGAAAATATGCAGCAAAAGCGATTTTTCTCCCAACTGAGATCCCTGTATGTCACCTTCAAACACCTCTTGTCTACGGAATCACACTGTTTCCATAGATAATACATTGATTGAAGTTAGCCATGACTATGTTATGGGCTCTAAAGTGGTTGTAGAGAGGGGTTTACATTTTTTCTATCTGACCTAAACAACAAGTGAAGCCCTAAGACATATCGTGTGTAGTGCGATGTTCATATTGATTTCCTTGCCATTCTAAGCATATGCTACACTCTTTGCTGCCAAGAGTGAAATATGGCCTTGTGGTATTCCATGGAAATCCAACATTACTGTGAAAGATCACATTACTGCCAAGGATTATGTGATCATTTTGGCTGATTAAATCCATCAAATGGAACAAATTTTGTCCCCCAATGATGACACCATATTCCAAGACGACACAGCTCCTCTTTATTCAGCTCACATTGTCCACGACTGGTTTTCTGACCATGTTGGTGAAGTTTCACATCTACCATGGCCACCACAGTCAATAGATATCAATATTATTGAGTATTCGTAGACTCTTTTGGAGAGAAATCGGTGAGAGCACTGTCTACAAATATCATTGCTAACTGAACTTGCCAATGTTTTACACGAAGAATGGAACATGATTTCCTTATAAAGCCTACAAGATCTCTACTTATCCATTCCGAGATGACTGCAAGCTGTTTTGAACATCGATGGTTTTCCTACAATGTATTAGTCACAGCAATATGTTTTTATTTCAGTGTTTCCATACTTACGTCCAACCCCTGTATGTACATATGATCATGACACGAACAACAAGAAATATTCAATACTATTAGTAGGTTGTCTGTGTCTAGAATTATTGAGATCAATTGAAAGTTTGTTTAAATATTTTTTGAGAAAACACAGTGCACAGATTACTCATTTTGTGACTTATCTCCCTTGTCTGACAGTAACATCAGAACAAGCCCACGAAATTCATAGTGGCAAGGAGAGAAAGATTGTGCTTGCCGTTGGCAACAGCCTTCAGCACCATACAGGTGGCAGTACAGTGCCACATTCTAAACAGCAGTAAAAAGTGAAAAACAAATTTTAGTATCCCTATAAAGAAACATATAAATTAAAGAAGTTTATGCAGTCAAAAGTCGTTAATTCGGACCTCAAAGCTACGAACTTTCTGTGCATGCGTCGCATTCACGCATGCGCACAGGCATTTAAGAGTGCGCGTAAGACCTTTACGGCTGCGAATATGTTTGTGCGCATGCGCGTTTAATGTGTAACGAAGGTATAAGCTAAGCTAAAATTATCTAATTCAGTTAATGTTGCAGATTGCATTGTTCCTTAATCTTCGAATTGGATCCGGCTTATTATTTTTTTCAGACTGTTAGAGCAATTTTATAAAAGTAAGCTTGAACTTTTGATTATATCAAATAGAATTTCCGATGCTGGAGCTAACCAAGGATCTACAAAGTAAAAGTATGTTTCGATGTCCATCAAACAAAAAGTGAAATTGCTGCAAAAAATGGATAAAGGCATATTTTTTGTTTCTCTAACCATTCCGAAATCTGTTTATCGATTTCATGCTGCTCTGCGAGGGGGGAGGCGGAACGTCGCGGCGGGCAATGACTTGGAAGTTGATCTGTCAGCAGTATCCTTATCTTCAGGGCAGATGTTTTTATTTTATTTGGCTTATAATTCCTTACTAAGTGTAGCATTTCATGTCGATGTACTCCGTCTTTGAGATGATTTAAATCAAGTTCCTTGTCATTATAATTCGCTTCCGATAGTGAAGAAAGTGACGAAGAGGTTATTGAAAACGAAAACATTTCGATTCACAAATTAGTCGGTATTCTCAACAGAGCAATTATAGGACTTGAACAGCAGAACTTTGTAACTAAACAAGAAATTATGTCTGTTTAATAGAATTAAAGAGAAAGTATTATCACATGAAACGAAGCAACTTGCAATGAAAGAAATGTTTGATAAAGTAAACAAATAAATATTAAGCTTTTTCTTTTTGTAAATTTTGATACCCTTTAGATCATAATTGTTCTTTATTTCATAAATTACGGTTTCATATTTTTAATTTTGTAATTTCTGCATGATATCTCACCAGATTTAAATTGATGATCTATAATCCGGAAAAATCGATAATCCGGAATCGCCGAAGTCCCGACGAGTCTAAGCTTTCTAAGTTACGAAATTGGTAAAAAATAAAAATTATTAAACAGGGGGTTGCTAATATTGTCCTTAGACAGTGATTATCATGATAAACCATGATACCCTGCAGTCATGATGCATAATAAGAAATTGTAATTTTTAACTTCTTTGTTCAATTTTTTGTTAATTTAACTTTCTTTCACATTTTTCTAATTTAGAAAAACATCATTAAACAGAGTAGAAAATGACATGTAACTTTTTATTGAGTTTATTAATGTTTTAACTGAAGCTTTTTTTCTGCTTGAGAAAAATGGTGGCCTATAAATGAGAAAACAACACATGATATTTAAGCAAGTAATGCCATGGTTAGCTAGTACTGCCATGGGTAGCATGAAAGAGTGTAGTAGTGAAAGAAATCAAAGGCTAGAAAAAGTTGAAACTCTTTGATTATAAACTAAATAACATTAAATGTTTATTGTTTCCAAAATGATCATTTATTTCATTAAATATTTATATTAGTGTAATCTGAAAAGACCACATAAAACTCTACAGTAAGAAATTTTTAGCTTAGAATGCATAAAATATGATCATGTTACTATAAGACACACAGTTTTTGAGATAAATGAAAAAAAAAAAGGAAAAACGATGTCACATCAGGTGAAAGGATGATAAGCTTTATTGGACACATAAAAAACTCCACAATATATAAGAATAAAACAACTACCCATTTCACCTATAATCACTCTTACTATAGCACAAAACTTACATAATAACCAATCTATGGTAGGTGTATATCTGCTATGCAAATGAACAGCCATTTATATAAAAAGGTGGCATATGGAAGCTATCAGATAACAGCAATTGTTTGCATGGTAATAATGTACTGAATTAATGAGAATTAAGATATATATTTAATGTTTGAACAATGTAATACTTTAAGAACTAGGGAGTATGAGCAGTGCTAATCTTCATGACATTACATTGATGTCCACGCCACCTGCAAGTTGGGTGACAAAGTGAAAAATACTGGAATTTTTCCCAAAACAAAACAATATTTACAAAATTGGATGCAAAACACATGGTAATCTTACACTATTAACCCATCAGCTTATTTCCTGTATTGGCTGAGATCCGCATTCTAAAAATCACAGCTCTAGGGATATACTTTACACAAACCAAGTTCCTAATTGTGATTTATCTGGGTAGGTAGCATGACAGCCCAGCTATTCTGAGTTTGAATGCTCCTAACCCTGTATGGTTTATTGAGAAAAGAGTCTCCTGAGAATCCTGTTAAGGTTAGCAAAACTTTAGGGACAGTGTTCAAAGTCACAGATTGTGGCATTTTTTCACTTGACCCCATACCTCCTACCTAATACAAAGCATAATAAGTAATGCATAAGATTCTCCTAGTTGGCTTAATTGTCAGGTGTGAATATATAGATATTTAATTATATTATCATATGCATTTGTGATACTACAACAGGTGGAAGTAGATGCAGGCAGCAAGACTCATGCACAAGGCAGACAGTTTAATGCAAGTAAAAATACTATGCAGAAGATATAGATAGTGAATCTGTATCCATTTCACAACAGAACAGTACAGGTTCCACATCTAGATTATTTTCAATGATGTATGTGGTAATGGATGACTGTAACAACATGCAGTTATCAATACGTTCATTGCACATATCTTGTGGATCGAATAAGCATATTTCACATAGGGCAGCAGCATCGTCAACAGTCACAAGAGCTATTTTTCCATGATGTATTAATTATTTCCTTGATGACATACGCATATCGATACCATGTGGTCCATGGTTCCAAGATGGTTGAATAATAGCACATTTCAACTCTGGTTGGTTACAGGGTACCCAAGTTGATGGATTGAGCATGGGGATGCAGTTAAGCGGGCACCAAGATTGCCAGATCTTACAGCATTGATTTTCTATCTGCAAGAACATTTGAAGGAGTTGGCGTTATGAGTTCTATTTACTATAGAGACTAAATGGCTTGTATTCATGTTACACTCACTTTTCTATTCACCAAGCTGCCAGATCGTGTTCTGTCAGCCATTCCTTAATGTACACAAGAATTCTTTGATACACATGGCAGTCATTTTCCTATCCTTGTGTAAGCATTAAGGTCATATGCATGTTCCAACATTCAGGTTTCCACTGAAGCTTATTTTTTATACACTTCATGTTATGTCATACTTTCTCTTTATCATTTTTCTCACGAACTATGGACCATAGAAGTATAGCTTTTAGGTTATTTTTTATGCATTCCAAACACGAAATCTCGCCCTGCAGAATTTATGAGGTTTTGATGGGATACTCTGCTTATTTAACTAAATAGTTTTCTTTGGAGTAGGTTGCAAAACAAATCGAAGTTTTCTAGGTACAGTAGCATATTTATGCAATTTTTACCATTTTACATATATGTTTTGATTTATAGATGCTAAAACAAACACATTTAATTGATATTCAGTTGTAATTTGATATCTAATTTAATAAACAAAATAAATTTAATAAGTATAAATTTTTTCTTCTGCAGTGGAAGAACATACAGGAAGTATAGCTAATATTAAAAAAAAAAAAATATGCTGGAAATGTACCGTACCCTAGAATGGCATCCATAGCATTGTCAAAAATATTCATTTCATGAATCCACTTTCCTTTTCAAAAATGAATATTCATTCTGAATCATTGCTTAGTAACAAAATTATTCTCATTAAACATGATACTTGTGGCTCTACTGCAGACAACGTTTATCGAACAGACCCATTAGATCAAGGTCTGAAGAATTTGCAGGACTTCAAACCCCCCTTAAAATTCTTGTAATGTAGCAAAATTACCTTTGAGCAGGTTTTGGGAGATCAGAGGAAAACTCTCATAATCCTGTTTATCCATTATGAAGACAAGGAAAGTGGGAGCAGACCTAAGGAAGCTGCATTTAGGACTTGACTCTGATGATGAAAAATCATACTTGTTATAAAATTTTGCATGAATGACTGTAATAAAATAATTCTTTCTATAATGGATCAGAAGACACATTACTGTATTTAACACTCTGAAAGATTAATTGATATATATTTTTAAAACTTTACAGTGCATTAATTTTCTTTTAGTCCTTTTTCCTCAGATAAGCAGTGGAAAGGCCTTGCCCGAATAAAACCTTAGCTTATGCTCTGCTTTAATGAAAACCTTGATTTTTATTTTTGAGTCATCTTTTGAAACTATTATTTTCAGTCCTCGATTATCTCCTGAGAATTAAGTTGAAAAGTCAGAACACCTTGCTTTCATATATACAGTTGGCTTCAAAGATATCACTAGGGCTATCTGCAAAAGGAGAGGGATGCTTTCGTGGAGGAATTTCTAAGAAAACTATCTTGTATACACACTACACATGGGGAAAACCATGAAAACACCCATGCAGCTAGCCTGTTCACCTGGACTCAAACCCAGGACGGGAAAAACCAGTGTTCACTGATTTTACCACTCGGCCGCTGGTGGGCCTGTTTCATATGTGCAAGACAAAAAGAAAATATATTGTAAATGTACAATAAAATGTATGCAATGCTTCCCTGTGACCTTATTTTAGGTTTACAATGTTTTGCTATGTGTCATATTTCAATTTAATTGTACCATATGCATATCAGCTGTATACAGCACATACTTTCATACAACCATGATAAGCTTTGTAAAGCATTAAGTGCAGACACAGAACACAATCATTTTATTATTGTAAAATTATAAACAGGACAATCAGCAATATCTGACACAATTAATCAAATGACTATTACAATAAAAATTTAAATTTTTAATAAAGGTACATATTTTGCGATACAATAGCAGCTGTTTCTATTGTTATTGTTTTACAAACTAAAATACACACTATAATTTTGACAAGAACAATTTCTTAAATACTAATTGCATGAGTTTAAATTGCATAATATTACACCAGCTTTAATCCAAAAAAATTAAATAAAAGAAGACATATAAAAGGATGATGAAAAAAATGCTATAACAAATACAGTTTTTGTTAACTAAAAAACAGAATTAAGGATAAATAAGTGCATCTATTTTTATTATTTACAAAATTATAGAATTAATTTAATACTGAGAAAGTGAACTCACCTGATAAAATGAATGTACAGTGTATGAAATAGTATGAACAATAGACTGTGTTAATCTAACAAAACACGGTTGTATAATGCACTCTATGTCAATCAAAGGCACCTAAAATGCAATTAAATATTCAATACTCAAAACTAAATCAATTAAATATTCTAATAATTGAATTCAAAATAATGACCAAGCTTTCAGAATCATATTAGAAAGCAACCAGTATTGCAACAGGGATACAAATACATACAGCATTTTCTGTAGCTCCATTAGTTTCTTTGCCCTATATTTTTCCTCAAATTCCCCAAATTAAAAAAAAAAAAAAAAAAAAAAAAAAAAAAAAAAAAGTTACTACAATTTATTTCAGAAATTCTTTTTATAATAGGTGCTAAATTTATAAGGTTTTGAAAGAAATGTTACATAACATTCACCCACATGTAATTTGGAGTCACACACTAAACATTAATATAAAATTTGCTGTTAAATAAATACTTAAATAAGGTGTTAAGTTACATATTTTTTAATAATGTGTTCTGTTTAAATAAATAAATAATCTGTTTAAATAATCTGTTCTGTTCTGTGTATGTTCTGTTCTGTGTTATTGCCAGCAGCATAACTAGAACTCTTTGGCCCAGATTGGTAATTGGGGAGGCAGGAAAAAAAGCACATCCTTAAGGAACAGTTGAAAGGTGTGTAACACTAAGAAAGAATAAAAAGCAAAATATTTTTCCTTGACCAATTGTGAAATGCAAATTTACTTTAGGCTGGGTGTAATATTTGACATCAGATGATTTTAATCAATTTATTTAAGATTTTTAGTGTGCATGCGGGTGAGCGACAGATTTTGCTCTCCTTTCACTGAGATACCTATTGCTAAGAAATGAATACGTCTATATAAAAAAAAAAGGAACATGTCGATGTAAAGTATAGCATTAACCCGGCGTTAGTCGCGCCGGGCTTCCGAGGCCCGATCAGTTTGTTAAAGCTATTTAAACCCTACCCCTTAATACTGAAATGGACCACACCCGGTCCAGCTAAGTGTAAGGTGACCTTTGACACAAAGGAGGCATTTCTGGAATTTTGTTTCATTCTGTTCAGACAAAAGGCCATTTTTCGGGTCGCTTAGGCCCGGCGCGAGTAAACGTGTTTCTAATTTCGAGTTTGAAGTGCACTGAGTTTGTAGCACAACATGGCTCGCAGATTAACATATGATGAAGAAATGGAATGATTACATAATTTGCTAGATGAAGTATCGACTGATGACGAATCTATCGAAGGTGATGATTTATTGCCTGATTGTGATGAAAGGTTTAGTGAGCATAATACGTCATCTGAAGAAGAAATTGAGTCTGATGAAGAGGACGCTATTGATTCTAATTCAGTTGATTGTTTTATTCGAAAAGATGGAAAGACAGTTTGGAGGAAAACAAAATTTCGTCAAAATGTTCAAACTTTATTGCAAAATATTATTTCAAAGTTGCTGGAAATGTTGGAGTGGCAAAAAACATAACTTCTCCTCTTGAGTCTTGGAGTTTATTACTGGATGAAAATATCTTGAATACGATCTGTCACCTGTACAAATATATATATTGACACTATCAGTGACAACTTTCAGAGAGAACGCGTTGCTAAAAAAACAAAACTCTCTGAAATCAATCACAATAATATGAGTCATAACGGAAATACCAAATTATTGACATCACAATAAAAGTTTTTTCCCTCTAATCTGCATCGAGGTAAAAAAGCATTAGAGAAAACTCTTCTTTCAAATTCACGATTCACGTTGTTGTATTTTGTGAGCTTCGTTATTTCAGGAAATTATTTAGTGCTGCCTTTTTTTATCCGAATATTTACTAGCTTTTATTGGATTACTATATTTACAAAGCTTTTATTTTATTACTATATTTATGTGGTATACATAAATCATCCCATGTGTATGTGAGAGATTTATGGCACACTGATGAAATGGGAATAGAAATATTTCATAGGATCATGTCTCATAATCATTTTTTGTTTCTTATGAGATGCACAAGATTTGGCAATGTTAGAAACAGGCAAATGAGAAAAGAAATGGACAAACGTGCCCCAATAAGATATGTATTTGGCTCATTTGTGCATAATTGTCAGGAGTTTTACACAGCTGGATCATATGTTACAACTGACGAAAAACTCGAAGCGTTTAGAGGATGCTGTTCATTTTGACAGTACATGCCAAAAAAGGCAGCTAGGTATGGAATAAAAATTTTCGCTCTTGTTGACGCAAGAACTTTCTTTAATGCATTCATCCTTGTTTGCATTTCATTAAGACATGACTTTAGTGTCCTATGTTGCTAAAAAAAAAAAAAAAAAAAAAAAAAAAAAAAAAAAATTGTTAACCTCTTATCTCCAATGCATAATGATGACGCTATTGACCAAACAACAGGTGAGGCAAAAAAAAAAAACCCTGAAATAATAACATTTTATAATTTGACTAAAGGAGCTGTTGACGTGATGAACCAAATGTCAGCAGCGTATTCAACTGCAAGAATCAGCAAAAGATGGCTGGTGGTTCTGTTCTTTACACTGCTAAATATTGCTGCAATCAATGCTCGAGTATTACTCCAATGCTCAAAACATCCATCCTTACAGCACAGGAAGCGGAGTCAGTTTTTGAGAGATCTTTCAACAGATTTGCTGAAAGACTACACAGCGGAGAGGTGCACTGTACCATGTCTCCCTCGACATTTGCAAGAAAAACTACCTACTGCTAAAAAACAGAAAATAATTGAGAGAGAAAGATGCTATATTTGCCCAAGTTCAAAGGACCGAAAATCTAAGATAATATGTACAAAATGTGAAAGAAATATCTGTGGAGATCATTCCGTTTTAACATGTACCAATTGTACATAAAACTTGGTAAGTTTTTTAAAAACTTCTACACATATATTGAATAAAACTAGAGCTCTAAATATTGTCTTAAATTATGTTGTTAGTAAATGCTTAATGGAGTGTTTAATGACCTGCATAAAATATAAATCCATAAACAAGCCTCGCAGGCCCAGCGCGAGCACTTGCGTATGTACGATTAGCACGAGTAACGCAGGGTTAAGAAAAGGAAGAAAGCCCAGATTTGCGGGGATTTTTATATAAAATACAGTAGGTTTCACATACAAATACATTTTGAGTTTTTAATTAAAATATGCACCAATCTAAGTTTTTTCGCTTGATTTAGCAAACTAATAAATAATTATCAGGTTATGTTATAAACTGACAGACAACGTAATAGGTAAATGTATAAAAAGAAATCACTCTAACATATAGTGCTCTGTGATTTATTCATCTTACGAACATGATGTATGCAATAATATAGAAGTAATAAATAAGAACTTTTACAATGTAAATGCTACATCTGTTAAATATAAAGCATATTTATCATGTGCATGGTAATTTTTCCCCTATTTTCTTTTAATTTTTCTCGGTTCATACTGCTCTTCTTTTTTTAATTTTTTTTCATAATTTAGTGTAATTATAACACTGGTGGCCTGGTTCGTTATAAAGACAAATGTCCTTCTTTATTAAAAATTTGAACTTTATTTCCTAACACTTATTTATTAATACTTGTATGTCCATTTTCTCAGCCATCTCAAAATAGGTTTGACAAGTGATCTTGTGTGATAGTGTTTCTCAAATATGTTTTTATTAGTTTCAGGTTTGAAAATTATCTCTCACTTGTGGCTGTAGTTACAGGTAATGATAAATATAATGTAAATAAATTGCACACTTCCGAATAATCGCTTGCTATATCAAAATATTTTACCATTGGTAATGTAGCTAAATCCTTAATGGATTTCAAATTTTGGATTTGTGTTCTGAAAGTATTTATAAATAACAGCAGTTGTACTTCAAGAGCATTAGTAAAGTCTTCTTTACATGTTTGCTTTATTTTTGAAACATTATTAAAAATTTCCGTATTTGTTAAAGATGACAGAGTTTTATGTTCCAAAAAGGAAAACACCATTGTGATTTTTGTCATTCTAGATTTTAACTGAGTATTTAAAATATTGACAGCAGCACAAAGAACAGTTATCCTCGTATAACTCATCAAAATTTTTTTTTGTCTCTATTTTTCTTTCATTTTAAAATCTGTGCAACCATTATTTGCAATAAACTCAGCTTCTTTCATAATACAGTCAAATACCGAAAATCCGCCGACTCCTGAAATCTGCGTTGCCTCTCAAATATAAACATTCATTCCGGAAAACGCAACATTGAGTACGAAATATCAAAGGAAAAATACTTACCGAATAATGACGTCATAATTACCGAATATGAGTCATAACGGAAATACCAAATTATTGACATCACAATAAAAGTTTTTTTCCCTCTAATCTGCATCGAGGTAAAAAAGCATTAGTGAAAACTCTTCTTTCAAATTCACGATTCACATTGTTGTATTTTGCGAGCTTTGTTATTTCAGGAAATTATTTAGTGCTGCCTTTTTTTATCAAATATTTTGTGGATAAATTAAGAATAGTTTAAATTTCAGCCCTTTGTAATACAAATACAGATAAGAAACGCACTCATGATTTTACTGCTTGCAACTCTGAAAAACGTAAACACATTGCATTGATGGTAATGCAAAAAGTGCAAAAGATGGAGGCAGGTGCTACTCCTTGGTTTCTAGCAGAATCGCATGGAATTGCAAAACGATTGTGTATGATATATGGAAAAATAAAGAAAAGCTGTTGAAATTTTACAGCAACAGTGATTCTAACACCTGAACCGAACCAGAATCACCTAACTGAATCTGAAACTGGAAATCTTTGCATGAGGCGAAATCAGCAAACCTTGATGTTGTGTACATATAATACAATGAATAATATAATCAATTTATATATGTAATAATAATTTAATGCACATAATAAGTTATTGCAATAATGTATATAATAATTTAATTAAATGTATCTAATATGACTTATTTATTTTGCACTTTTAGTTTGAATATTATGATTTATCTTTTCTGTCCTGAAATCCGCAAAATCCTAAAATCCGCACAACCACTGGTGCCAAGCTTTCCAGATTTTTGGACTTCTACCGTATCTTCAAACTTGTTTCTCATACCTTACATACTGATATAAGCGTTTTTTAGATGTTGATGAGCTTCATTTAAGTCGACTGATTTTTCTCTGTAGCATTCGAGACGCTGCATAAGTAAAAGATAAAACTTTTTCCATAAAAATTGTTAAGAATAAAATTCCAAAAGTTTCCATTTTTTTAACCCATTTGCAATGTCTTTCTCTTGCACTTTCGTTGAAGTTAATATAATTTAATTTAACACTTTCGAGATGTCAAAGTTATATTTTAATTACTTTATAAAGTTATATTTTAATTAATTTAAGATATTTTAATTACTATCAAAGATGATAATCGTCCAGTTCACTATGTAGGATTTAGATTTTTAACAGTGATATTACTGTTACAGAGTCTCCCAAAGAAAGTAAACTCAATCGTTTTAAGCTTTTTGCGAAATACACATAAATATTTTGATGAATTTCAAAATACTTATGTAGCTCTCTTACACCTTGCACTGCACATGCTCGCCTCACGAAATTCAGAACTTTGTTCTTACAATAGGTTAGCAACAGCCTAGCCCCGATTACCAGTAATAACTTGAAAGCTGCCCTCTAGAGGTGAATCAAAACAAAAGCACACAGCTTTTTTGTTTTGCTTTCAATTGAAGTTTGGGTGTGTTCGACACTAAACTCAGCTGTTTCTTCTGCTTCCAAGGGTTTTCTATCTGCGTCATATATGTATGGTATACAATAGAATTGGTATACTACTGTATCTGTATGCATTTAAGACGACCAATTTTATTGTATACACATACAGATACAGTAGAACCCGTGTTTAAGTTTAAATATGTAAACGTAGTTCAGCTGGACATTCAACAGCCCCCTAAGCGACAGCAATCCTTGCATACCCCTATTTACACCACTGGCTATTGCTAAATATAATTTATTTAAAACAAGAACCATCTTTTGAAAAAATAACTACCAAATTAACAAAACAAGCAAAATAGGAAATCATATTTTATATCGGAAACTACTCACATATATTATACTTTACCTTTTCTTTATCAAAATTTACTGATGAATTACAATGTATGTCCACTGGGCTTATAACAGGGAGCATAGTAAGGTTTCTGTACTCTAGTATTTCACATGTTACACCCGATGACAACTAAAATAGGAAATAAATATTCCTTGTAAAATATAAATTATGAACTAAAACTGCAGAATACACAGAAAAGGTTATAAATAAAACTAATGCATAAAACACTCTATTGAATATTTTTAGATATACCCAACACACCTAATAATCATATCACATATTTAACAGAAAACATGAATATAAAGGATAGTCAGTAAATAAATTACAAAGGGCTAAAGAAATTAAATCAAGTGAAATAAACAACCAATAATCAAGTTTAGTTTTCTGTATAATACTCACCTACACTAAAACTATTATCCCATTGACGTATGACAGCCCCAATATCTGCAGCAGCCAAGTTGGTCTATTGCTGCTGCAACTACAAATGGATCTTTTATTCAGTGCAGCACTGTCTGAAATTTATATCAGCTAGATGAGCTTTTATGAGACCAAAGCAATGAACATTTCTTGGGGTTAAGTTGGGTATATATGGAAACTACTGAAGAAGCTACCACTCGAATTTTGCAGGACATTTCTAGGTTGTTCATGTCATTTGATGCCTAGCATTGTCATGATGAAACAATACTCTGGGGCTCGGTAAGCTCAGATGTTTTCAGGTAACTGCAACCAGAAGCTGCAACATTACATTGCAAAATGTGCGGCAATCACATTCACTCTTCAGTTCTTGTATTAGACTAACAGAAGCACAAAACACTATTCTTTGGGGTATATTAATCTAGTATGGTGGCCATTTTCATATTGCTTCCAAGTGCTGTCGCGCACTGGCTTAAAATGAAATATGATTGCCTTGTTACTTGATCCTCAAATTTTTCAGCCTCATTTTTAATTTAGTAAACAGCTAAAAGTCAATCAAAGCCATAAGAGAAGATTAAACATTCTCTGCTAGAACAGAGCACTTGATGAAATACATTTGAATCAAATCAGAACACTAAAGCAATGATTCTTAACTTTATGGAGCTGCACCTCTATGACGACAAATTTATGAAGTATGATAACAAATTTATAGCACACATACAAGGAGATTTCGTTCCACATTAAATATTTTGTGTGTGATAATTTTCAGATATTGGAATAACCCATACTTTAAATTTTCTTTGGTACTTATTTTATTCACCTAACTGTGCAAATAAAAAGTGAAATCAAATTTTGAATATAAATCAACAACTACAGAACATTTGAAAACTCTATATTTCACATTTATATAATGTGTATATTATCCTAAATAATCCTGTATAGTATATCTGTGTCTGATTTTATAGCTCATACTTGAATTTCAGTTAAATTTTAAGTAAAAATTACATTTTGTGACAAGCCACTTTTGAGTGCATTTCTCTTCATTACAATTCCCACTGAATAAATAATTTGATTAATTTTTCTTACGAGTGGTATTTTTATTTTCATCATATAATAGTAATTTTTTTTTAATCTTCAGTTTTCTTCCATATCATTTAATAACGTAGTCAAATTATTGACAATTTAGTATGGGAAACCAACCTCCATTGCGACGTGCGGCTAGTAGTAATGGGTAGAGGGCAATCATTATTACATCAAGCAATCTGTGATTCAGTAAGTTTCCTGATATCCTAGTGACAGTGTCATACTGCTATGCGTGTGTTGGTTATAATGTCACAAAGTGTACGCTGCTATTGTTACATCAAGCAATCTGTGATTCAGTAAGCTTTCTGCTATTGTAGTGGCAGTGATATACTGCTGCACGTGTGCTGGTTATAATGTCACAAAGTGTGCACTGTTATTGAAAATCTCTCCAAATGCAAGGTAAGAGGAGTAATATGATTTCTTTAGGGTAAAAAAATTGACAATGGCAGACATTCATCATGAATTGTAAGTCATATAGGGCCCCAACATTATAAGTGAAGGTGTAGTGCATCAGTAGAACAAACAATTATGATGAATGAAGGAGTGGAAGGCCGTCAGTAGTAAATGAAGATCTCTTCAAACGAATAGACGACAAAATATGTCAGCTCCGTCGATTCACAATCTAGGAACTTTCAAAACAATTTACGAGCATTTCTTGGACTATTTTGTACTAAGTAGTTATTGGAAAACTAGGCTACAGGAAATTTGTGTTTGATGGGTATTGAAAATTCTCATTGAGATCCACAAAACAAATCGAATGGGCGCTGCCATACACTTTCTTTCTTAGTACCACATGGAAGGGGAGGAGATTTTGAGTAGAACAGTCACTGGCGACAAAACTTCGGTAGTGCATGTGAATGCTTAGCCAAAACAGCAGCCAGTGCCATCGATCATACCAGTTTTTCCACCCAGGCACACAAAAGCCTGTCGAACTTAGTCAGCGAGGAAGGTTATGATCGCCATGTTTTGGGATGCTAATGGAATCTTGCTTGTCAAATTTACTGAATGTGGTAGAATGATTGACTCTAAAGTGTATAGAAAGTGTATAAAACTGAAAAGAGCTATCCCAGAATAAACATCATGGCCTGCTAACATCTGGGGTTCAGTTCCTGCAGGATAATGTTCGCCTTCACAAGTGCTTAGCGAATACAAGATCGCTGGGCTGATTTAAATAGGACATGTTTCAACCTTCCCGTGCAGCCCAGACTTGGCTCCTCTTGATAACCATCTGTTCCCCGACATGAAGAAATGGCTTGGGGCACAGCATTTTGCTATGATGAGAAACTTCTAACCACAATGAAAATTTGGTTGAAGTCACAGGCAACTGAGTTTTATGCAAAAAAGAACTGGTAATATGTTATAAGAAGTAAATGTTATAAGAAGTGCTGGAATGAACACGGTGACTATGTTGAAAAATAGAGGACAACTATACCTTTCAGATGTAAATAAAAAATTCAATTAATCTATGCATGTTTTTTATTTACAGTGAAATGGAGGTAAATTTCTGAACTGTTCACATAACTCTTGAGCAGGTACACTAAAAATACTACAAGAATACACATACATTGTACATAATGTGCCACTAGAAATTTTTCATTAAAATATGATGGAAAAGTTTATAATTAAAGATACGCAAGAGATAAACCATTCTATGTCAATTATATATATTATCATTAGCTGATGTGAACACATCAGAAATGACTGGTCATTTGTGAAAGTAACACAGCTTATCCCAGGCCACGACAGCAAAGTGAGAATTGCATGTGTCAAGACAGCATCAAGTATATTGTTACGATCAATTCAAAGAATCTATCAGTTGGAAACTGTTGGACATCATGATGCTCCTGAAATAACACAAAACTTAGTCCAAAAGTGATGAGAGCCAGATGGCAACAGAAAAGATGAAAGAACTGTGTGAAACTCTGCCATAATGATGTGGTTGTGTGATTAAAACTCCTAAGAGACTGAACTCATAAAATTATTACTTGCAAAGAATTGTAGCAATGTATTAGTGGTGTAGAGTTCATAATTTTAGTTTATTTTTCCAAGAAAATAGAGATTTTAATGTTAAAATTTACGCTAACTTCCTCGAATCAAGTTATTAGCTATTAACGAGACACACTTTTTGATGCCAATACTTAGCTGCAGCCGGTGTGTGAAACCATTAACTCGAACCTGCATTTTCTGTAAATAACTTTCTGTATTTATTACTTTTATGAAGAGTATTTTCTTTTGCCACATAATTCAGTTGAGTCTGTTTTACTGAAAGTAAATAATTGTAGCTTTCCACAAGTAATCACATAATAGATCAATGAAACAACATAGTGTATATAAAAATGAATGCAAGAAAAATACTTACAAATAAATTCTTTAATTAATTAAAAAGCTACTATTAATTTATTAAAAGCATAACAATGTTTTCACACATGAATAATGAAATATCAGGAAATACTAGATTTTTTGTACAATCATTGCAATTTACTTACTTCTCCTTTCAATTTTGATGACCATTTAATATATGATAATGTAGGGTTTATAAATGACAGCACAGCAAATTCTTGATTGGATGGAGATTCATCATCAAACTCAAAAGGAAATAATGTGGGCGAATAACCTAAAGAAATACACTTATCATAAACAAAATGAGTAATTGAATTAAAAGATGGAGTACATCAGCAAGTAAATGATAACAAGGAGAAATTTTTGAAATACAACATGTAGGGATTTATATTTATTTTAACTAATAATTTTAATTATAGTTCAGACTTTCCTATAAGCTTTCATTCCCCTAATTGTCAGTGCCAGAATAGTTAAATTTGGTAGTGCGCATGATGTGAATGCAAATTCTACTTTGATGAGAAAAGTTTAAATACCGAGGTTTTAGAAGGGAAGTGAGAGAGTTGGGCTCAAGCAGCTGCCTCTGTACAAGTTGAGCTCTGTAGATTAGTTTAGCACTTGTTAAACATTTCAATTTTTGATTTTCAGTTACCTGCTCTTCAGTTACCGCCCAAGTGGAGGCGAAGTTTGTTAGCGTCAAGTTGACGCAGTGTAAATTTTAAAGAGTTAATAAAGGGTTTGAACCCTTCTTCTGTGTAGTTTCCTGCTACTCCTGTATACAGTTAAAAGTTAAGCATCTGGACACTATAAACAATTAAAAATAGAAACTACGATAAAAATACAGCCAAGGCTCTGAAACATGCATTTTTAAAGGTATTCTAGAGTTAGAAATACAATTTGTATTTTTGTATAGCAATGCTGCTACTTAAACTGCTTAGTGAATTTTGCATGGAGAGTTTACAGAGTTTCAGATATTGCTTTGAAATAGTGAATGTTTTACACCTTTTCTTACAGATGTATACAGAACGAAATTCAATTATGTCACCAGAAAAACTTTTTTAAACCTTAAATGACATTGATTAATTTCAACAAAGCACAGAAGAGCTATAATGGGACCCATAACCACAAATTTTCTCCCTTTTTGATATCCCTAAACATTGTTTTGGCATCATATCTACTCTTCATTCTCTAAGTCGTGCTGATTGAATCAATGAATGTTCACTACAAAAGCTTGAAGATTTCAGATACTGGTTAGATGAAAGAGGGACATCTAGTGGTTATGGGAAGAATGGATAACTTTATGATCATGGTCAAAATTCTTCTGGGATCTTGAGGATGATTTACATTGAATACTTTCCTGAATCTTAATCCTATATGGTAGCAGAAGCAACATTTTTTGGTCCTAATGCAGGATATCATAAGGAGAAGTGGTTAAGCATTATTTGATTAAATTTTTTTACTGTGCAATCATTCAAAATGCAAAGCTGCTGTTTGAGTTTTTTCAATGCTGAGAATTTTATATAGTTCATAAAAACGGCAAAAGTGGAATTTGTTTCTTTATCACAATGAAAAGAAAATGCGCTTCAAAGCAGACAATATAATTCTGCCACAAGAACATACATCAATCAAAGCATCTTCCCCAGGAATGGGATAAGTTTCCGGTGAAGTGATGAAATAATCCATGTCAACATTTGTGCATTTGTTGACATTAGTTGTTCACAGTAGCAATCCAAGAATTTGAAAATGATTCTCTAAAACGGTGCTTCTACACAGTAGTGCAGCAATCATCCTTGTGTACATGTCTGTGGGACTTCTTATAGTGCAGCAATCATCCTTGTGTACATGTCTGTGGGACTTCTTAAGAGTCCTTTATATATAATTATATATCACAGGATTTGCACCTGTTTTCCATTACCTCGATTGGGCCTGTACTAGAAAAATTGTTCACATACTTTATGGAGTACCTTTTGTAACAGGATGTTCTGTCCATCCTAAGCTTCTCACAAGCAGAAAAAAAAAATTCCTCTTATACATAAAGTGATTATCACCCAGAGTTCAATACAATTTTATTATCAGACTAAAAATGATATTTAATGCCATGACTCCAGGATTTTCGATTTATATATTTCACAATTCCTCATTCTTCATAGATCTGTCACATATGCTGTACAGTTCATGTTAGTGTCTATGACAAGTAGAACTTCAGAGCAATTTTTTCCTTCAGCCTTTGGTTACATTTTTCCGCACAGGGTCATACTGTAAGTAAATCAGAGAATTTCCATGAAAAGATCCTTTACAGCAGCTTTTTAGTCAACCTTTTTATACTATTTGCTACTCTGTATGAGTAAAATTTCCTATCCACTCGACGGTTCTGCAGTAATTTAAGTTAGAGCAATAGCGTGGTAATTTTTTTCAGTGCAGGTTTAGTAAAAAATATATAGTTCAATTTATCCATTTATTTATACTTTGTGTATATTTATATAATTCTAGACAGAAAATTTAATTAAAAAAAAACTACTTACTTTGAAGAAAATTAAAATTAAATGTAAAATGTTTAATTAATTATTAATAAGATCCTTGAGGCTGATGCTGTAAGACTACTATTTGATGTCTGGTTCAATTTTGCAAGGAACAAATGCAAATCTACTCTTTTTATAATATTCAGACGATTCCTCTGTTATGTCTTTGTTGGAAGTCTACATTTTTCTCTTTTGCGGCTCCACTGAGCGGAAGAAGTAAAGTATATAATCTTGCAATAGAAACCGCCCGATGTTAGTGAAGACTGTGTTTTCCCAGTATGTCTTATCGACATGGCCAACAGCCATGAATGATTCCGTGGTGTGGCGATTTCAAGGCATGGAAACCTGCTGTGGAATGTAGCAGTGGAAGACATTCTTTCATGAGATTCACACTGCTCTCACAAGAGTTGAGTAAATTTTATAATGTATCAGGTAAAGTTAATTGCCATGAATATGGATGATTGAATGAGATGTGGAATTGTTGGTAGATTGGAGGAAGGACAATCACTAACGTGGGTGGCTACAGAGCTCAATGTAATGCCGAGTGTCATCTGCAATTTGTGGAAACAGTTTCAGGACACCAGATCCATATCCAGAAGAGCTGGATAAGGTCGACTAAAGTCTGCAATGCCGAATGAGGATTGTTATTTGGAACTTTCATCACATTGCCATAGGACTGCTACAGCTTCACAGCTCTCACAAGAATTGTATGCTGCTACTGAAATGCAAGTTTCACAGTCTGTAGTTGCCCAAAGATTTCATCAAATAGGGCTGTATGCCAGAAGACCTGCTGTTTGTGTCCTGCTTCCTGCAGCACACAAGAGATTGTATTAAGCCTGGTGCAGACAAAATGCACCTTGGACCAGACTTCAGTGGAACAATGTGCTTTTACAGAGAGTCAAAATTCAACCTGGACAGATTCTCAGGGTACCTGTTACCATACATAAGGATTTATTTTCCCACAACTTTTCATGTGGTAAAGTTCCCATTTAAATGTACCTCATAGCTCATTAGTTTACATTCAATGCAATGAGAAAGTATATACCAGTGGTGAGTAGTGATTGGGACTGTATTTTGAGTATGGCAAAGCATTTGAAGGCTACCTGCCTTCATGGATAAGTATTTAACAGGAAATGATGCATATTCTCATAACATGCACAGAAAAATAGAAAACTCCCATGCAACCAGTCCATTCACTGAGATTAGAATCTGGGTTAAGTTAACAGTGTTTGGCACTTTTACCACTCACCTGTTGAGAAGTTGGCACAGATCCTTAAAATTTTCAGTTTAACAGAATTTTGTAGCATGAAAATGAAAAACATGGACAAGTAAATGGGTTAAAGAACATTAATACATTAAAAATTTCAGTTCTAGTACTTTTTGTAAAAAATGTTAGTGCTGTTACTTATCTAAATACACATACACAGAACATAATGGCAGATTATTAGTGTAGGGATTAAGTTTACAGAAAATTTCAATGCAGTTTTTGAACATAAAAGATACTTTGAAAGTAAATTCATTGGTGAATATGCCAATTTTTAGATAAAATATTTTGATACTTGTGTATTAACCAGTACTCACTGAAACACAATCGACAATCTATCAGTGACTTAGGTAATGAAATACATTTTTAATGTCAGCAAACTAACAAATTAGGTGTCTTGGTTCCCAGCAAGTATTGTTTGGTAATCATATACCAAATTCTATCAGTTTTTCTTCTCTGCCTTCATATGATCTCCACAAAATAAGATGGCAAATGACCTCTCTAGAATTATTTCCCAGTTTTTATTCTAACAACCTAAGCTGGGATTGAGATTATATTTCCATCATATACAGTATCACAGCATAAGAACCAGAACTTTTGCGATTTTTTTTTTTTTAGAATACTGTATGCCTTAAAACAATGGATTGCTTCCACTTTATTTCTTGGAAAATCTAGTAGATGCAGCAAGTACTATAATTTACAATTGTTTGTACTGTACTAACATGTTTGCTTCAAAATGCAGGAAAAATTACAGTGCAAGACAATTTTGCCCTGAGAATTTCCCGTAGAAAAATGGCTGCCAAAAAATGAAGTAATATATTTCAGTGCCTACTATAATTTGATACTGAAATAAAAAAATGAGCCATCCTCATCCTCACTTAGAAGGAAAATAATCACCTTTTCATTAGAACAGCTTCTACAGGTTCAGAAACAGTTTCTTTGGTTGCTGAATGCTCACAAGCAGCACAGTCAGTTGCTATATTTTGGGCAATGTATCATCAGGTACCAAATCGAAATACCAATATTTTGATGGCTTTTTGCAAGAGCATTCTTTGTCTCTAAAAATATCCCCCCCAAACTTATCCCTATTTTTCTCCACAATTTTCTTTTCTCTAGCATTAATTTCGCTTTGAAGAATTGTATTCAAAATTATAATAATTGTGTGTTCAATGCATGTTCATTAGGTAATTCTTAAGGCATGTTTTCATTAGTTATTTATCTGCAATTAAACAAAATTTAATACAAAAATGGTACAGGAAAAATGTAAACAAAACTAAGAAAGACATGACCTATAACCTACAAAATTTCTCTAATCTGCACAAGCCTTGGACATGATGTGCAGATTTTTGGAATTCTGCAATATTTAGATTTTCCAGTGTATACATATGTTGCATTTACAATACATATTATGTAGTATAGAAAAAAAATGGCTCATTTGTGTACTACTACCTGGTGCTTGCTGAGTAACACAATCAATTTCCAACAAAATCATTTCATTTGAGCTAAGAACTCTGCCAGTTTGAGATAACTATTTTTTTGCTATGTCTGGTGTTCTATATGTTTTCCTCGTCAACACGAATCATGCCTGGATTCAGGATTAAAATAAGCAATGTACAACTTTTCTTCCTGAACATTTAGAGATTATTATGGAATTTAAAAAGAGAGAAAAATTTTTCTTTAGAAGACTTATAACAAGAAGCAATAGTAAATAATAATCTTTAAAAGATCCAAGAAACAAATATAACATTATATTGAAAACTTAGAACCCATTGTATTATTGTTATTTAGACAAATTTCAATATAATGGTAACAAATGAGATGCGAAGAAAATAGGTCAAGATCTGTTAACATGCATTTATGCTTGATGAAACAAAAATTAATTTGTATAAAAAAAACATGTGCAACATCTGCAAAATAAAAAAAAAAGAGAGAGAGAGAGGAAAGGTGCGATATATCTGTATACAAAACTGAAAATGTTAAATGATCTAGTAGATTAAAAGACTAAAAACTAGGAAATTGCTAATTATTATGCTACAGATAAAAATGTAAGGCAATGGCCTTTTATGCAATAAGACTACCAATCACAACATTATGCATACACTTACATGAGAGATATAATCAAAACTCATCAATATATTAAACAATAAATATATGAAAAAGGCTACTTTTTTAATTTTTACAGATTAAAAATGAGGTGGTTAAATTTTGAATTAATTCACATAATATATTTGCATGTAAAGCAAATTAGTACTTTACCTGTTTTCTGAAAGTAATTATAGAGAGTCAGTTTAGCAAGCTCAAAAGATGCTCTGATTTGTAGAACAGGTATCAGACAAGGATCAAAGCATGAATCAATGGCCATGCAGGCAGCTAATGCAAGAGGTGATAAACAAGGAGTTTCTTTCTCAAGAACACCATCATCATCACTTAGCAAATCATAAAAAAAAATTGCACTTATTCAGAAGGAAAACAATTGAAAGTTATTGAAAAATAAAATTAAAAAAAATGCTACACCAGAAACATAAGTTGTCACTATATCAAAATTATCAACAATAATTTATGTATAAATATATTATGAACGCACAGAAGTTAATTACATAACAAACCTGAGTCCACAGAATAAAAATTTAGCAGTAATTAATGTAAAGGCATTACTGATAGAATTAAAAATTTAATGAAACAGATATTTTAGAAAAAGTAAAATGAGTTAGGATCAATTACAGCATGTCAGAAACAAGTGTGAAAAAAATTAATTAAATTTGAAGATCAATCTGCTCAAGAATTAAAAATTATTTTCGTACATTATTTCCAAACTATCAACAATAAAAGAGTTAAGGCAACCTCTGAAATCTGTGTTTTGTCTGTTTGCTCAGTATATTACTTTATAATGCAAAGATATTGAAAACAGACATAATACAGACAAATAAGACAGCAATATTATAGCCTGCTAGATATAAAGCAGCATTTTTTCACTTGTATGTATATTTTACTCTTACGGTTTGTTCTTCAGAGGTTTCGTCCCCCTCCACCCAAAAACTCAGTTACTTGAAATTGGTTTCTAGTGTCCAATGATTTTTCTTCTAGAGTCATCACGGTCTTCCAGAGTCTTAAAATTGTATTCCTCTGCATTATGAAGACATTCCATTGTCAGAAATAATTGTAACAACCTTGTTGCCACCCCATTTTATACTTCTGTCTTTTGAAAAATTGTTCATATTCTACACAATTTCAACTTTCAAATAATTTTTCTCGACTATTGGTCAAATTCACTTCAATATTTGAACATCTCTCTGATTTTAATTGTTTGGGAATTAATAGCATATTTATGCGGTCTTATTTGAAATATACCAGCCGAATTAAAACTGCAATGAATTTCACATCTAGCATGAATTGTGTATTCAAAATATGAGAAATAAATAAATCATCAACAGCTCATCATATCTTGTCACTTAACAAAATTTAAGCTTTGGTTCTGAGAAAAGACCCACAAAGATTCTTTAGTTGGTGAAATGCTTCCCTTCACATTCACAAAAAATTATCATTTTCAGTTATAAAATTAATTTTAATTCAGTTCTTTCCAAAACTTTCAAAATGTTATTACATTAGTTTTACATATTTCATTCCTCAACAAATGGTGTTGCTTTCACTTTGTTCCATTTTTTGATTTCCACATAAAACGTTTGTTACTTCTCACATCTTTGAAAAAATGTTTTACTTATGAAGAAGAAGGATTTATGTCTTGTTGTTTTTGAAATGGATAGTTTTCCACAAAATCATCGCCAATCTTTTTGGCTAGAGTTGCTTTTTTTTTTTTTTTTTTTTTTTTTTTTTTTGCCGTTTTTGAACAATGTGACTTACATGATTGAGTAAACTCAAATTCCTGACACTAACTTCAATGAATACTTAAGAAACACTCACACAGAAACAACAATACATTTGTAACAGATGTTTTATTGTTGACTTTTTCAGTTCAATGCCTTCTCATTTACTTTTGCATTAAATTAATATTTTTAAAATTATGCCTGAGATTTAGATCTTAAATGTTTAAAATGACATGGCAAGTACTATTACAACCGAGAGCAGTAAACATCCATAGCTATTTGTTTTAAATTATTGATGCTCAGGACTAATTTCTAAAATTAGAAATGTCAGAGTGTTATGGAAGACCACCAGGAAACAGGTACAAAAATAAATAAATAAAAAAACTAATAACATAATTATTAAATAATTAAAATTTAATAAAATATGAAGAGATAAATAAAAATTTAATAAGTTATTGAATAAATGGTGAATAGTTAAATAATAATGTACTGAACTTCTTTACTTATTTGACATTATGGCTGAAATTTAACTTTCACACAAAAACCGAGAAATAGCTCAACCGGTCTCTGGTTGAATTTAAGCCCTGCCTATAATGTACTACTTCAGGGAATGATAGAAATAAAGACCATTTCCTTTTTCAGCACACCAATGGAAAACGTTAAAGTGGTTAAAGTGTCACTAATGAGACTAGAGACAATGCTATAAACAGCAAAATATAGAGAAAAGTTTAACGAATGATGTATATGAAAACAAAAAGAGAAGATACCAAAATTTTGAGAAGAATCTAACATTGCATCTGACAATGATCTTCTGTCAATATAATTCTGGCTGTCCAGCAGAATTGACAAGGGAACAAAATTTCCCCGAATTCAATAATTAGGTGATAAAAAAAACAACAAATGACAGTTTTCATCCAGTGTCTTTGTGTACATCTTTCCGGAACAACTACAGGCGCTCTTTTTCGCAGAAAGTCACTAGTATTGTAATGAAAAATTTAGCCGCTAGACGCATTTCTTTCCTTAAAAGTCTCGACCTCCATCTAAGGGTTTGTTTCCCAAGGAAAGAGAGGCATGCAATCAGAAGTTAGAATTGATTTTTAATATAATTTTATCATTAAAAATAAAATTTTCGAGATCAAATTTATGCTGAATTTGTTGTTGTACATAAAAGAAGTACCAAAGATTTCTTTAAGGCTTTGATGTGCTCTAGCCAAAACGATGATTTATACCCAAAACCAAGAAGTACTGGAGCTCTGTTGATGCTGGTTTTATAAAGGAAAATCAACTTTAAAAGCAGTTGAAAAGTCTATATATAATGAAAGAAAAGTATCTAATTATTCTGGATCTATGCTCAAGCGCCATTAAGTTATATTCCATAACTCATGAAATTTCACAGAAGTATACACTATTTGTTTTTCTAATATGTCAGCTAAACACACACACACACAAAAAAAAAAAAAAAAAAAAAAAAAAAAAAAAATGGGGAAAAAAGAGCTTGATTGATGATATTATAATTATTATATATATTGATTATAATTGATGATGTTATATATTGTACTATAATAGTATATATTATAATGCTTACATATAACTTCGGCAGTCCAAAAGAACTCTCCATTTGTCAGAAACTGCTAGAAAATCAGAATTCAAATCTGGCAGGTCTAGACTGCAGTGTTCTGTTTCAGACAGCATAAAATCACAAAGGTTCATGTATTCATGATGAGCAGAATTCCAGAATTGAAGATAGCAAGTTAAAACCTGAAACAGAGCTTTTTAAATTTACAAAATTCATCACGAAAAACATAAAAAAAAAAAAATAGGAGGAAAATGGCAGTTATAAAATAATTAAAATATTTGAGAATATTACAAGTTACTGATACAGTATAAGTAATCCTGTAAAAATAATTTTGAAGTTTTTATTAATAGATTTAGAGTTGAACTCTATCCTACCTTTCTTGAATTATGCCATCATTTGCTTAAAACATAATGTTATGCAAATTGAAAGGCATGCAGCATAGCTTAAAAGTAGCAGTGTAACCTTAATTGCAGCATAGAGTTTGCCACATCACTGCTGCTTTGCTGAGCATGAGTTCCTGCTGAAACAGTTGGAGGCCAAATGTTGATATGCAACTGAGCTGTGGGTAAGTGATTGCACAGTTTATTTGTAGTGCAGACTAAGTGTTTAACTTTGAAATTAGAATTTTGTTTCATAAAGATCTGAGCTCTATCCATTGCACAAACAGCCTCCTGTTTGAAACAGTTATTTTTACAAAAAATTACCTTTTTAGTTTGCGTTGTAATTTTTCACCATTAATCTCTAGAAACAGCTACATAAATTTTATTCAGAATTTAATTTGGCTTGTTTTTGTGTTTGCAGTCAGATAACTATAAGGGCAATAACTTGTCAACAGGTTAAGATAATGTGTGTTAGCCATTCCGCAAAGTATTCACTTTAAGTAAGTTCACATCAGAGATGTTGTGGTCACATAGTTGCATTGCTGTTGTTGCTAATCTCACTTGTCTAACCTCAACAGAACAAGCCTGGGCCACCAGCGTCCAAGCGATAAAAATCACTGAACACTGGTAGTTCCAACTTGCGTTCGATTCCAGGCAAATGGGCTAGCTGCATGGGCATTTTCATGGTTTTTCCCATGTGTAATGTGTATATGAGCCAGTTTCCCTTAGTAAGTCCTCCACAATAGCATCCCTAGATAGCCCTAGTGTTCTTTGCAATAATCTACCAAGCCAAACAAAATTAGAACAAGGCCCGCATATTTTGTCATGGCAAAGATTACAAGATTGCATTTGTCACTGGCAAAAGCCTTGAGCACCATATTGGTGATAGCAGAATTTTGCCCAATTATGTCTGGTTTTAAAGGACAGCATCCCGAAAGATGGGTACCTGGATCTCCCACCCCTTTTCCTTTATCACCAAGCCACCTCAGAAGACTCTCTGTCTGGTGTATATTTTAAGTCCCTATGCAACACAGACACTATGCATTTAAAATACCCAGGCCTTCTCATGATGTAGCCCCTCCTCTCAATTTCACTAAAGGAGATTCTTCTGGCTTATCCCATGATCTTTTCTTTATAACACTGCTGTACAGTATTCAGTCATCATCTCCAATAATGAGCCATTTCAAAAAAGGAGATTATTTCCTTTCAGCAAAGAATCACAAGCCGAAAAAATTCTACTCTGTAAAAGTATGACATATCCATACATCATAGCAGCTTACATACCCAAACTTCTTCAAATGACCATTCACTGTGCGTTTTGGAATATTCAGTCAGTCTGATTGTTCCTGAATAACATGGATTTCCAATGATAACACATTTAAATTCGACAAAAACAAACTTTTGGTTTCTCAATCCTTAGCACTGCACTGAAAAACAAAATTATGCCTTAACACGTTAGACTAACAGACAAAAAAAAAAAAAAAAAAAAAAGAAAAAAAAAAAAAAAAATCCATTTCAATCAATTTTTTTTTTTTTTTTTTTTTTTTTTAGCAGCAAGAAAATGATCAGAAGACAATGTGCTTCAGTTTGGAAAACCGCAGAACGTTCCAAATGACCCAGCTGTGAAGGAAAGCCCTCATATTTTTCACTCTGAATCCTATTTTGGGTGTAGCAATGGACGTTGGTTAAAAAGTCTATGAGTAGAACAGTTTTGAAGTTCTATAATTCTTGTCCTTTTAGTCACCCCTTTAACTGTTGTGCTCACACGTTATTAAAGGCTGCAAGACAAGTCTGGTGAGTTTTCAAGCCGATTCAGTACCACAATTTTCATTAGTAAGTCCTCATGCTTAGTCATGTAATTATTTATGCCATGCCTGTGAATGAGTTTAACATTTGTTCACCCAGATTTTTTTTCCTAATCACAGGCATGAATGAAACACTCTTAAACTTAGAATAGAATCCAGAGGCAATTCATTATGCCATTTTGCTTCGAGCTGCAAGGTCAACCAAGCAGCACATTCTGATGAAAAATAGCTTGACATTTTTCATTTCTACCAAGTACTAGAGTATCCTGGAAGCATGATGCTGAAATTTAAGTAGTGACTTTTGCAGTGTTTCCAGATTTTACTTCCTTTGGCACTCACTCAGTTTGTCTATGACAAACATGGGAATGTCATTATGTGACTTGTTATCTAGGTTTCTTGTGACCAAATATATATCTAAATTTCTACCGTGACATAAATGCTCGGAATCAAATACTTCTCACAGTAATGCTTCCTTTTTGGTACTATAGATGGGTAAGTCAATGTTTTATCTTTTATGCAATTTTAAGTTATTAAGGCACACCAGAATCAAATCTTAATACTATTCTGTTCTGTTCAGGTTATTGTTGGTCTCAACATAGCAAGAATCAATTTTAAATGATCTTTGCAGTCTGGGTTATTGTGTCAACAATTCAAAAGGTAATTAAAATATCTACCTCAATATAATTTACTAACTTTAGATAAATATAATTCAACTGTTGTCTATGATGCTCCACTTGCTTGGCACTGCATGAACTGGTCCCAACCGAGAGGCCCCCATATCAGGAAGTGGGAAGGTTGCCAGTCAAAGTTCCCCAAGAGGTTTGTATACATTAATCATGCTACTGCCTCGGGGTCCCAATCTGAGATAGCAGACATAAAAAGTTTCTCTATTTCCCTGCTACCCCTGGGGATGTGGGGTCACCACTCCAGTTGTCAAGGGTCACAGTAATGGGAAACATTCACTCCTGGAAATCTGTCCCTGGTCATAAAAATTGCTTCCACCAGTGCTATGCAGGCTGCCTTGTTCTACAGAGCAGGAGTTATGCCAACCCATCCAGATTGGGCCAATGAAGTTGAGTCTCAAGGTTTCTCCCAGCTGGGCAAGTAGAGCAGCTCAAGGTACCTCCCTGACTGCCAAGGTACAGATCCAAGCCAGTACAATAAATGACTACTGGTGTGTACCAATATTATTATAAGAACAAATGATGCATAACAAAGAAGCATTTACACCAATACCATAATTTTCTTTCCTAGAATTTCTGTTCTCGTGCAATCTGAAAAAAGCTGTCATAAATAATATTAAATTATGTCTATTAAATTGTTGCTTTCTAAAGAATTCATAGCCCAAACAGGCAAAATATCTTGATTTCCATTAAGTTATGATAACAGCTACAATGTCATATTTTCAAAAGATCCCCAACAACTAACTGGCAGTTCTTATCAGCTTATCTTAATTCTGTGGTTGGTTATTACATAATGCACATTTTGTCCCTTTAAACATTAGTTTTACCTATGGAATCATTACAGCAAAAAGTTAGCTACTGAATAGAAATTTAAAAATTATGCAATCCAATACTATGCTACCTTTGAAGAAAATAAATTTTATTGTACAGGTAAATTTTATCTAGTCTTGTTTTTTACATAAAATTAATAATATATGTATTATTATCATATATGCATCATTAATGTGATCATAAAAATGCAGATGTTATTGCCCTTCGCATGAGATATTTATATTATCAAATATATTAAATTTTCAATAAGCACAATTCAATGCACCCAAGGGAGAGTCAAATTAATTTAATTTGCAATATGAAGACTGACATGTCTTAAAATGTTATACTCAAGCATATTTTCACTTATTAGTCTTTGAATTATTGTGAACAGACAGGAGTGTGGTTGCCAAAAATTATATTACAAGAATTTTTGTTCTACTGCATTAAATTCAATGCTACTGATGAGTTGCAATTATAGAATCTGTGGCAATTTACTTATTATCATATAATTTTAAGTCAATTAAGAAATGAGTCTGACAAACATTTCTCCATTCTTATTGCTATGTAATGGAAAATTATAAATATCATTAAAAAGAAAAATACTGAAATATGAATATTATTTGTTAGAAATAATAATTTGAATCATTGAAGCTTTACATACTTGTGTATCTTCACTAAGTTTTCCCTCTTCGCACTGAAATGGAACGGGTGACACATGAATTTTGGTCAAAGCTCTTGGTTCTGGGTAACGCCAAGTCATTGAAGCAGGCTGATTTGGAGAAGCTCGGTTGAAGACAATTTCATGAGCTTTAGGTTGAAAATCTTTATCTTCTGAAAATAACACAATACTTGAAAAATTATATTTAAGGGGTATTTTAATAAAAATTGATAATATATATTTAAATGTTCTGCTATTAACATAAAAAATTATGCATACATTTACATAAACATATTTAAATGTGTGTATTATATCTATATATAGTGCATATTTATATATACTATATATAGAGAGAGACATGTAATTATAATTTTTTTTTAAATTTTAACATAAAAAATGCTGAAGATGAAGATGCATGATGAATCATTTACAGTTCATGTTTACTGAAGCTCATTTCAACGAATGAAGCACAATAAAACAATGTAGAGGCACAGACATGACAGCACTTATTCCACAACTATCAGTATATGTCTTACATTACAAATGGTGATAGAGAAGAGAGAGAGCAGGTAACATCTTACCAGCACAGAGAAATTTAAGAGAAATTATAATATGGATTTATTATAATATGGATGCTAGATAAGAATAGTGAAGTTATGAGTTCTGTTAATTTCTATTGGTTGGAAAAAGTTTTTGAACCATGAAGTATATTATCATTATAAATGGATAACTGGCATTAGTTTCACTTTTATTGTTATGTAAGTAAATGCACCATAAGCATTAGGTGAGGACCGTGTGACAGAGACTAATTCTGAAAAGGTCCAGTTCTGGATTTATAATAAGCATATAGCTTAGGTTAGAATGGGAAACTAATGAAATTAAGAGACTTTAGGGGCTATTACAATTTAAAATTACATAGAGAGTGACACGTCTTGCATTCAAATATATACACTATTATGCATTTGTAGAAATTTACACATATCACATTTATATAGTGTTACACGCTCATAAAATTTTACATACATGTACTGTAATGATCCTAAATAACCAGGTCAGACAGGCAGGAAAATGAAGTTTTAGTGCAGTTTCAGCTGATAATAGATACACAGATGATGAAAAATAGCTAATATAGTACAAATACAGGATGTTCCGCACAAAAGGCACCTGTGCATTTGGTGGCAAATGATAAGCAGAAATGTTGCATTTTTATATAGCAGGAAAGACATAGTTTTATGAGGTACAGTTATGTTGACGATTAGTGACAAGAGAATCGATGTGGATGCCATCTCCTTACCCAATGTGGGAGTGCAGTACAAACATACCACATATGGTTTTGTATTAAAATTTTTATGTTGCAGCTGAAGAATCAAAAGGACTTTAGCAGAAGTGCACTATATGAAAGCTCCTGGAAAGAAGGGATGTTAGAAGATATGGAAGTGAGACCTCTTGAGTGCAGGATACTGTCCTATACCATTGAAGAATATATAATATCAACAGGCTGTTCATTTATAGTACTTGTTCCGAATGACATATCTGAACTGTCACTGTCCTGATAATATCACTTTCTACGATAAACTAGCAGCTAAGGGAGATACTTGTAGTTGTAGTCAGAGCAGCTGATCGTGGATACAACTGTGCTCAGTAAATACTTGTAAAATATGCACAGGTGCTCTACGCAGTTGATGTTGACAGGATACAACCAAAATCTATTCTTTAACCCTTTGAAGGGTGGTATATAAAATAATTTAAATTGTGGTAAAATTTTGAATGAATTGTAACTTATGGACCATTAGGACACACAATTAAGACTTAAAAAAAATCTAAAGTGAAATAATGAATTTTGAGAGCCAGTATATATATCTTATACCAGTACCCCCCTATGACATTTTTTTCCCAGGTAGCTGACAATTGTTAATTTTAGTTTTTTTTCCATCTATTTTTGTGAACTTTTGATGGACATCCATAGAGATGGATGCTTGAGTTTGAAGGCAAAAACTTTTAAAATTTTGCTGAAATTAATTTTTTTTTTTGGTGCATTTAGATGATGCCACCCAGCTGAAGGTACTTATGTAAAATATGGGCAAAAAGCTTTCAAAAGTTATTTAAATTCAATATTATTATTTTATGAAAAATTTTAGCAAATATGCATTCATAAACTATATCATGCTGTAATTGAACTAATATAATGTTACAAGGGGATGTTACTCAGGCAGAAAATAAAAAATTGAAGAATAAAACACTATGACTCAGCTGAAAAATTATGTTGCATTTTTGAACTTATTATATTTTATGCTTTAGATAATATATAAAAAGAAGTATGCTTTATGCTATGATATCAAGAATCACACCCCCCCACACACACACAACACACTTTTGATTATCAAGCCCATAAAGGGCCCTTTTTAATCTTTTGTAAATATAGGCTGTAATATATAATTTTGTCCAAGAGGAAAAGCTGTTAAACGATTTTATTATTTGATACACCTCAAAGCTCTTATCAAATCTCTATCAAAACTTAAAAAACTCAAATAATTGCCCCCTTTTTTCCTTTCCAAGATAAATGTTTTGCATTTAAAACTAGCCTTAGAAATATTTTCCCTCCTTTTACCAGCTCCCTTAACCATGAACTTAAATGATGCTATTTTACACCTTTCATCCTTTTTTCCCCTTAAATTTCAGGCATTAATTTTGTAAGGGAGATTTTAGAAACTGCTTGTAAATGATCATCACTGATGCTTGATCATAAAATGTTTTCAAACAAGATTCATGATAGGAAATGTCCGTTCGCATATGCAGTTTGATCCAAAAATAGCAATCCTTAAGTGTGTTGAATTTGTCTAAATTAAGAGTGTTGCAAAACATTTCCAGGTTTTTTCATGACTGGCAATTATCTAAATCAGTATCAAACTACATATCTATAATCTTAGGCTGTAGCTCATTTGATTGACTATCCATTTCCATTGAAAATGGAGCCCACCAGCGGCCGAGCGGTAAAGACGCTGAACACTGGTAGTTCGGTCCGAGGTTTGAATCCCGTGAACGTGCTTGGCTGCATAGGTGTTTTCGTGGTTTTCCTCATGTGTAACGTGTATGCAAGCCAGTTTCCCTTAGAAAGTCCTCCACGAAGACATCCATCCCTTTAGGCAGATTATGGCAATTATTTAATTATGGCAGTGCTTTGCCATAATTAAATAATCCAATTCAATCCATAGAAAATGGATCAAAAACTTTCACCAAATCTTGCTAATGAAGTATTTGGTACAGAAAGATAATCTATGATCTAATGAAAATGAAACTTGATCTAAACAAAATAAGCATGAAAATAGCATGAAATGAATCTTGATCTAAACGAAATAAGCAGTTATAAAATAGTTTGCAAACTCACAAATTCAAATACTATATATTATTTAAAGAAACATTAAAAGACAGAAAAAGTATATTGCTGTAGAATTATAATAATTCCTTGTGGGCTGCAAGATGATTTCCTGTAAGTTAGCTTTCATCTGTACAAAAATAACAAACAAAATACACAGACAAAAACCCCATTCAAACAATATTACAGCACTGATTCAACTTACCAGAAACTTGTATGAATTGAAAAGCTCCTTTTCTTAAATCATCTACCCAATGTTTTCGTTTCTTTGTTTCATTACCATCTGAATGCTGAGCAGAGCAACTTAGAGTTTTATCTACCACGGAAACCATCATTCTGATGGAATTTATTTGAGTCTAAAAAAATTATACATACATACATACATACATACATACAAATATAATATATATATATACCATTAAATACATACATATACCTATCTATGCATGTTTATATTCATGTAATGCAGAAATAACATATATTAAAAGAACTGCATTATTATTTTAAAGAACTGAACAAAAACTTTACACTAACCAATAATTCCTCCTCAATGGCTTTAATGATTTCTTTTAGTTTCAAAATATGGTGTAGACTCAAATTTAAAAGCAAGCTTTCACCAACTATACAAAATTCAATTTGAAACCATGGGTTGAAATGACATTTGACAGTCAAAGAAACTGACAAAGGTTGCAAAAAATTCCATGTTTCCTTCACACTATGAGACTGTAATATGATACTTGAAACTTTCACATTCAGTTCAGTACTTTTAAGTTCATCTAAAATAAAGTACAAAGAAAAATTTGTGCTAAGTTGATTATTATAAAATTATTATTTTCAAAACCGAAAAGTAGAACATTATGGGAAGTAAAATAAAAAACAAATCCCTACCTTTGTGTGTTTCAACTTCTGTATTTATGACTACTCTACCAGCAGAAATTATTAATTTTTCTGAAACAGCATCCAATGAAGGCATGAATTCAAAAACCAGCTGAGTTGTATACAGTACAATCTTCTCAAAAAATTTCAGTATCTTCAGCTTAACTGGAAACTGAAAATTACTATCCATATACACTGACTGTTCATTACAGTTTATGCTGAACTTATAAGGTATGTTTACAGATGAAAATTTTTCTTGACAGCATTTAATAAAAGCCAAAATAGATCCTAATAAATCATTTCTGAAGTTGAATTTCACAGGTCGTTCAATTGAGATTTTAATATTTGCTGGAATGAAGAAAATAACAGCAATTAAATATAAATTTAAATGAAATTTTAACAGTTTGCCTATTACAAAAAGTTATTTAAAATCATACTTAATACCATTATAAACTGAGATGAAATTTTCGAGAATGTAGAGATTTTTTTTAAGGTAGATGTTTTACATGATACAAAAGTTACAATTTGTAATAGCTTAATTAAGCTTAAGATAAACATTGATTCAAATTTGAAAATCTGCACCTTACAGAAAAAATAGCATGAAATAAATATTTGTTCATCTTTCAGATGAACAAAATACAAATATAAAAGGGGCCAGTTAAAACCCATTATTGAATTTGTTATACAGTCAAAAGTCTTTAATCGAGACGTCCATAATCTGGATGTATAGATATGCATAGGGTGCATAGATAGCATGCAGAAATTATAAAATTAAAAATATGAAATCATAATTTATGAAATAAAGAGCAATTATGATCTAAAGGGTATCAAAATTTACAAAAACAAAAGCTTAATATTTATTTGTTTTACTTTATTAAACTTTCACACGCACATGCGTTAAAGCATACATTGCGCATAGTCGAAATTAGAAAATTGCAACCAGAAAAACTATTTTATTTGCGTGTTCGTGATATTTATAATGATCGAGGAAATTTGATTTAAATCATCAAGATCGGAGTACATCGAGATGAAACACTGCATTTAGTAAGGAATTGTAAACAGAATAAAATAAAAACAACTGCCCTGAGATAATGAGGATAGTGCTGACAGATCAACTTCCAGTTCATTGTGCGCCGTCGATGCAACCCCCCCCCCAAAGTCCGCAGCAGAGCAGCATGAAATCGATAAACAGATTTCGGAATGGTTAGAGAAACAAAGGATACGCCTTTATCAATTTTTTTTTGCAGCAATTCCACTTTTGTTTGATGGACATCGAAACATGCTTTCGTTTTGTAGATCCTTTGGCAGCTCCAGAATCGGAAATTCTTTTTGACATAATCGAAAGTTCAAGCTTACTTTTATAAAATTGCTCTAACAGTCTGGAAAAAAATAATAAGCCCGACATTATGTTAAGCAATGGATTGATTCTAAAGAACATTACTTCAAATAAATCAAAGTCAATAACTTACTTGTGTACTTTATTATTTTTATCTAACGTAAGTTACACTTTTAAAATGCTGCACCATGGAAAATATAGTAAAGCTGTTGTAGATACATCCCTAAATACATAAAATACTGCATACAATTCTTCTGAAAACAGACATCAAATACAGTAATATGTTTAGTAGTTAAACCTTCTGGCTGCAGGATCTGCGAACAGCATGCTTATCATTTATCCTGAATATATGTGGGGAGTCCTTATCACATCAGGACTTAAAATTTGCAGAACATTAATGTAGCAACCACTATTCCTTCATCAACTTATGTTTTCATTTCCCACTAATGATTTCATTTGAATCAAGATCTGCATTTTTATTAATTTTATATTAAAAAAAAAGGTTCCTTCATATACACAGAGCTATTACTACTTAAATCAATACACAGCCATTTCAAGCAAATAAAAATATACTTAAGTTATAAAATTCATTTACAAGAAATATTATTATAACAGAAAATATAAATCAAGTACTTTTCTAAAACACGTACCTGGATCATTGAAAAAATCGGTACATGTCACAGTGAAAAATGCAGGGGGAATACCAGTTTTTTCATTTGGTTCTCCAGGTTTTGTTTCCAGATAAGGAAATATGAAATCATCATTTACAGGAGTACATGATTTATGCAATTCTGAAATATATGTCGTCAGTCTTAGTATTGTTATAAAGTATATCTAATATATGATTAACTACAAAATTATGAAACCATTTTCACAAATTGCAAACTAACTGTAATAAATACATTAACAGAAATAAAACAATTTAGATGCTTCATATAATATAGTTAGTTAAATTTGAAAATGTACATTGCTTACTCTTAACTGTATGTCCAGATGGTGATCCATATAATCGCAAATCAAAGCAGGATGATTCAAACTTCTGTGAAGATGGGTGACAAAGTATGTATGTGTGAGGCTGTACAATAGACACACATGCAAATGGGTGCAATACAGTGAAATGGTAGTATTCAGATGAAGTGGCACTCTTGTTACTATTCTTATCAACAGAAAATGGAATTTTATGTTTTACTTGATCAGTTTCTAGATGTGACTTTACTTTTGAGCTCTTATCAGAAAATACTTTTGAAACAACAGTTTCAGTCCTCAATTCTTTGGCTGAAATTTCATGTCCAGAAGAATTTAAAGTTTCGTCATGATAAAAAAGCATGATAGATACTGATCCTGCAGTTATCAGTATATCAAAAGGCACAAAATTATACTTCAAGCTTTTCTCACTTTTAGTTGAGGGAGGTATATTATTTGAAGAATCGTGAGTAAAGCATGATGGTATATAAATTTGGAATTCATCACTTGTTTGTGAACCAGATACTTCATCTTCTGAGGTGATTTTAGAATTATTAGTACTTTTCTTCTGATTAAAATGAGACAATGCTCCATAGAAGAAGTTCAAATTACTTTTCAACAATGAGTAAATAAAGCATGTTTTTTCAATACTTAAATACAAGAATATGTCACTTGTCACACTAACTTCAACAGATATTCCAGCTACTGCAATTTTCTGAAAACATCAAAATAATGATTTATTATGCTGTAGGAAAAATATATAAAACAGCTTCAAAAATTCATACATCCATACATTACATTTTGCTTCATAGTGAGGGCTACTTTTAGTTAAAGTAATTATTAAATGCAATACAATGAAATATAGTTATTCTTTAAAATGTACTAAAATTGTGCAACTGAAGAAATGCTATTACGATTTTATGCATAAAATTTGCAGCAGCACTATTTCTCAAAAGTTAAAATAATTCATTCAGAGGTACATTTGAGGCTCAGGTACTTTTCAGTTAACAAGATGCCAGCAATGTTTGTGCAACAAGATGCCATATGAGGTAACCTGATTACTTAATGACATGCATACTTTGCAATAATGTTACTTTGAATAAGAGAGAAGAAGGAACATTAATAGAATAAATTTTTCTCAGAGATTTCCAGACACATTTTGTTATGTGATGGCTTAATTTGTTTATTCATTTTGAAGAAAAGATCAACATGAATTACAGGTCTGATGATACAAAACAGCGAAATAAACTTAAGGGTAGCACTGTCCTTTGCCCCGTTGATAAACAGAAGCAAATGTTTTCAAAAATGCTTACAAAGCATCCTGTAATTAATGCAATTAAATCCATACAGTATTTATAACAACATATTTATGTATATATTTTGGATTGAATTAAATCGTTATTCTTTCATAAAACTGGATTATTATGGTTGCCATTCCTATCTCTGGTTAGATTTTGCGCTAAAATTTGTGTCATAATAAGAGATGTCCTCAACAGAACAATACCAAAACTAGCAAACCCGATTTGTGTTTACCCATTTGAAATACCAAGATGGAACTGGGTTAGTGAAATATGGTAAATCACACAAAAGGCTATCTTACATTTATAGTAGAAAAAGCAGCCTAACATTACAAATCGTTGCATTATATAAATGGATTCTTTTAAGTTTTAGCAAAATATGACCAAATTCCAATTTCTTCACACCACACATTACAAGAATTAACAATACTGACAGAAAAATCTTAACTTTTATTATTCATTCATTTATTGCATTTAAACAACTTAATGATTTCTCTCAGTAGTTCTCATCTCCATTCTAAATATTATGAATAAGTTATCTCTTCAGAGAGTTCAACAAGTTTTCTAACTCAGAATTCTCAATAATCAAGTTCAAATCAATCTCAAAAATCAGATTAAAAAATAATTAAAATTTATTTTATATACAGGGTGAGCCGTAAATGTTGTGACAAACTTCTAGGGGAGGTAAGGCACATCATAAGGATTAAGAATTACATAAGCACCCATGCCCCAAAATATCAGGCTAAGTGGTAGCAGAGGTAGAAGGTGAGAAAAGAAACAAGAGTAATTAATTTGAAAAATTTATTGGACATGAATACAAATGGTGTACGACAGCTTGAATGTTACAACCAGATGCTCGAAGTTTGCACCATCAGACGCCAAACATGCCTGACACCGACGGACCATTTATTGCCTATTGCCAGACATTTTCATACAAGCCGAGAGTTTCTTTGATTGTAGCAGTTGTGCAGGCGAGTCTTGCCACAAGATCGATTTTAGATACAACAGGATCGTGATACTACACTTTTGATGGCTTTTCACAAAAAGAAACCAAGAATCGGTTAAATCCAATGAGTGTGGTGGCCAGGGAACTGGTCCACCACGCTTAATTCATCGATGCAGGAATGATCTGTTCAAATGGCTACGAACATTCAGTCCAAAATGAGCGAGGGCCCCATCATGTTGGATCATCGTCAAACAAATCGGGGAGAACCTGCTCCAGAAAGATGAAATAATTCGCGGCATTCAAATGGTCCATCGGTTTCAGGCATGTTTGCTGTCTGATGGCGCAAACTTCGAGCATCTATTGTAACATTCAAGCTGCCACACAACATTTGTATTCCATTCTATAAATGTTTCAAATTAATCACTCTTGCTTCTTTTCCCATCTTCTACATCTGCTACCACTTACCCCTGACATTTCTAGGCATGGGTTCTTATGCAATTATTAATCCTTATGATGAGCCCTACCTACCTTAGAAGTTTGTCGCAACATTTACGGTACACTTTGTATACTGAAGACTTGAACGCAAGCTGCCAAGAAATGACATCATGCAGTTATGGCTACTTAAGCAAGAGTGGCTATAGGACAAATGGTGTGATCAATTAATATTCCTGAACATGACTATTCTAATATTAAACATTTTGCATTCGTGTGTGGCTCATAATCAGATTATTCCCACTGCCAAAATCTTATTGGATCCAGTGCTGTGTACACCACTGAGAAAGTACCTACGTAATGTTAAGGATGCATTGAGTGTTAATCAGGCCTTTTCCTGGTGGGTATGCAGCAAATACCCTGCACATAGACAGCAAAATTTAGGGGTGCCAAGTTTAGGTATATTGTAGAGTGGAAGTTGCCTGTACAAAGACAAATACATTATGCAATAGTTTTTTGTCCAAAAGACAGTAAAAAAGACCTTTTCGGTCCAAGAAACAAGAGTAACAAGAAACAAGACCAAAATAAATTGTTAATTATATGTTTAAAATTATATGGGGGGGAGCATACAAAACCTGCACGCAGGTCCTCAAACTCCCAGGAATGGGAGATTGAGATTTTCTTTTTCTTACCTACAATGTGAAAGCATAAACAATTACAATTCTAACTTTAAAACCTTTTAAAATAAAAAATTAATTCTACATCACAACTTTGTATAAAATTAAAGCAAAATTTTTCACTAGAACCAGGGTTTAAATTCCAAAATCATAGGGGATAGTGTTGTTTGCAGACACAACACAGTAATTCAACACTATACACTGCGAAAAAAAAGGGACAGTTATATATCTCTTATTCTTCTGGGCCGATTGAGGAAATTCAAATTGTGTTTCCCATGTCTCGAAAGCATAACTTAGGATATATATTAGATTTATATATAACATTGTTCTAATATAGTATGATCTTAAATTCACTTAATTCGAAAACAAGCTATTCTAATACTTGCACAATAGCTGTAAAGTAATATAATAATAATTTATTTACTAAAGAAATATTGATTATATCTCCTAATATTAACTTTAGTAGAAGTATCTGAAAAGAGTGAACCCATAGGTAGGAAGTTTAATTCCGAAAATTGTTTTAAAGTAACTTGAATGTAAATTGTTAAAAATGTTTTATGGGGCATTGAAATAAATCATGAATAACAAAATTTCAAACTTTGAAAAAAAGAAATTAAATTAAAAGCAAGTAATTATTGCTATTGATCGGAAATTAGTTGACTTTTCAAGGGGAACAAACCAACTCCCGTTCAATGAAAATTGATTAATAAATACGAAGGTGTTTTGTCTTTTACTCAAGTAATAATGGTGATGCCAAAATGGCAAATTAAGTTAGGCCAAATAGTTCCGTGAAGTGAAGGTATTTAGAACCAAAGTAGAGTACCAAAGAACTCATTCTGAATTAAGCATTTTCGCTAATACAAATTTTGAGTGAAAAGCAATTTATGTAGTAAAATTGATTAAATACTTGAGTAATTGTCCCCTGACACCCCCGCTTTTATGCATGTTAATTCAAAACTATTTGTATAAAAATTAAACATTGGTAATCTTAAATTGGAATTATGAAATAGAACTCAAAGAAATTGAAATAAATATTAGAAAATTAAGAAACATAATGCTATCTTTGCAAAAACAAATCAAATAATAAAAATTGAAAAAATTAATATATATAGGATATATAATAAGAAAAAAAGGGAATGTACATGAAGATATAAAAGGCCAGAAAAAGAATTAATTAACTTACAGTCTTTCTAGTGGGATAAGGGCAAAGTGTTACACAAAATCGGATTTTTTGTGAAACAATTCACCAATTTTTTTCCATATTTCGATTCTATGACACAAATTATGCCCAGATATTAAATTTTGTCATTTTTGGTGAGAAATTTATGGAAAAATTCAAAACTGTATCTTGGCACATTTTGTTCAGTTTGCACCAAGATTAATTCCCTTGGAGAACTTCTTAATTTATAGCAACCTATTTTCCTTTTCTTCTTTTCGTTGTAGAGAACAGACTACAACCAAACTGACAGGTTTTGTAAAACTTGACAGTTTGGCATAATTTGAACAACAGAATCGAAATATGGGAAAAAATTGGCATGTCATTTCAGAAAAAGTCCGATTTTGTGTCACAATACCTATATTAGAACAATGCTATATATAAATCTAATACATATAATAGGTTGCGCTTTCAAAACATGAAAAATGCAAGATGATTTTCGTCAATCGGCCCAGTACAACGGGAGATACAGAACTGTCCCATTTTTTATTTTTTGCAGTGTACATACACCTACTAACTAAAATTTGGGAAATGGTGACCCAGATCTCACACAAACAACTATAAATATATTTCAGAGTTCTTTTATATACGAGGTTATTTTTCAAACAAATTAAAAGTTGCTACATCTCATAACCAGAAAAGGAATTAGCCTGGAAAAATGAATTATGCCCACCGGCGGCCGAGCGGTAAAGTCGCTGAATACAGGTAGTTTGGTCCGAGGTTCGAATCTCACGACTGGCTGGCTGCATGGGTGTTTTCGTGGTTTTCTCCATGCGTAACGTGTATACGAGCCAGTATCCCTTAGAAAGTCCCCCACAAAGGCATTCCTTCCCTTAGGCAGATAGCCCTCGAGGCTCTTCCATAATTAAATAATCTAACCTAACCTAAAAATGAATTATCTTAGAGATCAAGAGACCAAAATCATACTGATTCTAATCAAATTAATCCACCTTTTTGTCTTTTAAAGTGCTATTATGTTTATTTTCATACTTAGAATACTGGTGGTTTGTAGAAGCTTATTCATTACCTAGTCATTGGTCTCATGTTCAGATCTGGATAAGCCATGGGTGTTTATGACTATAAAGTCGGTAGAATGGAAGCATATAAGCCCTATCTATCCTGAAGTTTTCTAGAACCGGAAATGTTTGGGAAGGGAGCAAAAATCCATTAATATACATCAATTTATGTTACAAAATGTTCTATGCAAGTATTTCTGACATGCTTAGTGGTGTTGGTGTATTTAATTATGGCAAAGCACACTAGGGCTATCTGCCTAAGAGGAGGGATGCCTTCGTGGAGGACTTTCTAAGGGAAACTGGCTCGTATACACATTACACATGGGGAAAACCACGAAAATGCCCATGCAGCTAGCCCGTTCGTGGGATTCGAACCTGGGACCAAACTACCAGTGTTCAGCGACTTTACCGCTCGGCCGCTGGTGGGCTCTGACATGCTTAATCAAACAGTGCAATTTCATTCTCCTTAACATAATTCTGCAGTAAGCAAAAGAAATAAATATACAAAGGACAGGGTAGAAAAAGAAAAGAATAACAGCTAGAAAACAGTAAAAATTTCAGTGGTTTACACTGTTACTTAAAATTGCATTCTAAACCATATGCGAAACTTTCAACATTTTTAAACAGCCAATACATGATTCCATTCTGTACAGAAACTAAGCAAGAAAATGTAAACTGTATGCTGCTAATTTACATAATATACATAAAAAAGTCCTTAAACACTGAAACAAGCTAGAGTTGTGAAACTTGTATCAGCTTACAGGAAAGTGACTATGCCCTGTCACATGAGATCAGCTACAAAATTCCTGGCAGCAAATTTCAAAGTTGCCAATCTAACTACAAAATCTATCACAGGTAGCAAAAAATAAAATTAAAAAAATCAATAGCAGTTGTGTGAAGTGTCACTGATTTATTATAAAATTATACCCAACATATATCAATATCCCGAATAGCTCTGAAATGCAGATCCATTGTTATCTGATCACTGGCATAAATGTCTAATCACAAATGGGACATATTTTAAGACAGATGCAAATTTATTAATATAATTAACACATGTCAGCAAGGTACACTTTATTTTAGTAATAGCAGTAGAACCTTAGTAAGTAGAAAAAACAAACAAAAAACAAGTTCGAGAACTATGAAATATCAGTATTGATGGTCATTGCTCAAAATGTCCACTACTGGCAAGAATACATACAGTACAAAGTCCGTAATCCGGACTCGTCGGGACTTCGGCTATTCTGGATTAGGGATTTTTTCGGATTATAGATCATCAATGTAAATCTGGTAAGATGGCATGCAGAAATTATACAATTAAAAATATGAAACCATAATTTATGAAATAAAGAGCAATTATGATCTAAAGGGTATCAAATTTTACAAAAAAGAAGCTTAATATTTATTTTATTTACTTTATTAAACATTTCTTTCAACGTGCACACGTAATGTATGCGCATTCTTTACGCGCATGCGTAATGTATGCACATTCTCTACGCGCATGCATAAAGTTTGTGGCTTTGAGGTCCGGATCATTCCGGATAATTGACGTCCGTATCACAGACTTTATACTGTATTTGTATCTTGCTGGATGTTTTGCAGCACGTCAGGGGTTATGTTACTGCATGCTTAGATAATATGGGTTCATGGGATCATTAACTTCGTGGGATGACAAGATGTACCCCTGACTTTTGACATAATTACATAGAAAAATTAAAAGGCATTAGATCAGACAAACTTGGAGACCACTCCATAATATCTCTGTAACAGATAATCCTCATTGGAAACTGTTCAGAAAGAAGCCTTGAACATTGGTACCACAGCGAATATAGAAGGACTAATGACAGGTCATCTAGGAAATCAGGTACTGTGGTGTTCATTAATTCAAAGCATACATGTCCTGTTAAACTGTAGAGTCATTAGGTATTTTTTTGGAAGCTGGAGAAGATGAAAAATAGCAACCACCTTTGCCAGGAATCAAACCACGGACCTCTGGAATACTGGCCCAGCATGCTGAACCCCTACATCACGAAGGCATGCTAGGGAAGTGGGAGAAATAAAACAGCACAGTTCACACTGTACAGCACAGTTGCAATGAGGTGAACTAAATCCCACAATAGACATGTGGAGACTACTGCATCTGAAGATGAATATCTTGTCACCATGATGGTTTTTCAAGTCCCCACTAGTGCACACTATGTCAACTCAACATCCTACTGAATTGAATTTCACCATATTTGTGCTATACTACCAGTATGTTCATCATGAAGTTGCACCAGCCTACCATGTCTAATAATCTCTTGGCAGCAAATCCTGCATTAGTGTTACTCTCTATGGGCAAGCTCACAATTCATGTAAAATTTGGCCTACACATGTGAGACCTCATCTCACTAACGTTTCTTGCTCTGTAGTGCATGTAGATTAGCACATAGACCAGGACATCCATTGTTTGCAGAGGTACATCTGCTTGACCTGCCCCTGTGTGCAGATGATCGTAATGCTTCCTTCTCTACTAAACCGGCTAACAATACTGATGAAAGTAGCAGCAGAAGGATGCAAATGATTATAGAATTATGATACATATTACAGTACAAAGTCCGAGATCTGGACTTCCAATATCCGGACCTCAAAGACACCACCAACTTTTTTTTGTATGCTTTACGCATGCGCATCTGATTCCCCCCTCTGTGCATAATAAAACATGTGGAGAGTCCAGATTCTTAATTTCACTTTGGCACTAAATAAAATACCTCGTTATTGAAGAAACAATCATTTTAGCATAAATTTGTATGATCAATAATTTGGCTCCATTGCTGCGTATCTGCTTGGTATTACATGTCCAACCAATACATTCTACATAGATACATCGTTGATTTATACCCACTAATATTTTATATCCCTGACGAATCATTATTTATTACATTTTGCTTTCATCACCACACATTTATCAACACATGACAACTTGACTAATGACTCATGTACCAATGCCTAAACAATTTTTTTATGTTAGAAATTGAATAATAAAGAAGATGGTAAACCTTTTATGTTGACATTACACTTGGCAATGATTACAGATTTAAATGTGCTAAGAAATGTTGACAAGGAAAAATTTAACAAAAAAATTCTCTCCATTATGCTAAAAATAGATTTTGTTAATGATACTCATAGGCCAAAAGATTACATTTAGACAGAGAGGTTATGAACGAAAACATTTCGATTCGGAATTCTTGATACAGCAATTATGGGACTTTCAACAATGTAACTGAACAAGAAATTAAGTCTGTCTACAGAATTAAAGAGAAAGTATTAGCACAAAAAATGAAGCAAGTTAAACAATTACACTGAAAAAATGTTTAATAAAGTAAACAAATAAATACAAGTATTAAAGCTTTTTAAAAAAATTTTTGATACCCTTTAGATCATAAATCACGATTTCATATTTTTAATTTTATGATTTCTACATGCCATCTTACTAGTTTTAAATTGATGATCTAATATCCAGAAAAATCCCAAATCCGGAATCGCGGATGTCCCGACTCTCTCGGACTTTGTACTGTACCTCTTTTCCCATACAAGTATACCATCCTGCAGTACTCCTCATTTGAATAACTAACTATGTTAAGACTTGAAGAGCTAGTCAACACAACATCTGAAAAAAACTCCTTGACTGCTAATTTATGTTTCCTCGATGAGGTATAAAATAGTATTTCCATTTGCATACAACAATCCAAACTATCGCCCATGCATTCTTCTCCTGGAGATAAATTTTTTAAAAGATCTGTCATGCCATTAGTGTTTTATTTATGCCAGTCATTGTATACCAAGGAATCAACATTTCAGGGCTTCAATTCAAGTTATCATTGTATACAGGGCATCATTTCATACTCAATTAGTGATGCTCTACATGTTTGCTATTAACATTTTTCTTTCATATCTCTCATAGTTTTTACAATATGACCACTAACTTTCCCAAACTCCTCTATACCAGCACTGCATCTGACCTCATATGATAAAACACAATCCTCTTTCTCTAGGTAGACACAACTTCTACAATTCCAGCTCTTTGCATAAAAATGCTACTTAGATGTTTAAGGACACAACTGAGGATACCCTGTATAAATACAGAGCATAAAAAATCCAATCAGACCATGCAATAAAAAGGATGACCAAAATAAACCAAATTTATTTATCAATTTTAAGAGGCGATAAGTCAAAACACTTGAAATTTTTTACACACAAATTCTACACAAACAAAATATTGAAGAAATATCAATCTTTTTTACATCAGTAAAAGAAAGAAACCTACAAATATATTATAAATAAAACATATGTACTACTTAAATGTACTATATAGTACCTATAACTACTATACTTACTTCTTGGGACTGAGATTTATTCTGATCCTCATAAATTATAGCAGGTGCAACTGCTATGCGAATATTTAATGGTGAAATAACAGGTGTTATTACATTGCTTTCGTTTGCAAAATTTCGATTCTCAGGAATAACACCAATATTCCACTCAAGTGCTGGATTCTCACCCATTGTTAAAGGATGATGTAGAAATTGTTCTCTTTTCGCACTAGTTTGGCATGACATATTGGATCCAGGAACTGAAAATTTCAAATCACACATGGAGTTACAATTTTGTGTAAGTCAATAAAATATCACAGAAAGCACAAATACAAGCATTAGAAAGGCATAATTTTCAAAGAGAACAAAAAATAAATATAGTATGATTCATACAGAATTTACCATTTTCATTAATTATAAACCTTTAAATCAGATATTTACAAAGATAAAATGAAATCATATGCTATTAGCAGTGTTTCGATTCTGGTGTGGAATGACACAACCAAGTTTCATCACCTGTCACAATTTGGTTTAAAAAGTTTTCTCCCTCATCACTGTACCGCGTGAGAAATGTCAGGGCACTACCAAGTCGCTTTGTTTTGTGAACATCAGTGAGCATTTTGGAACCCATCGGGAACACAGTTTGCGATAATTCAAGCGGTCAGACACAATTTCAAACAAAACAGTACGTGAAATTTGTAGAAATGCCTCTGAAAGAGTTGTCATTGTGAAGCGCCTGTTCTCATGAATTGCTTCATCAACTTTCCTTACCAAATCATCGGTGACAAAAGAAGGCCGACCACTCCGAGCCTCGGCGTGGACATTTGTTCGACCTGCATTAAACATTCTTACCCACTTTCTCACCATTCCATCACTTATCCCGTATTCACCATAAACTTCTGTCACTTGACAATAAATTTCGGCGGGTTTAACATTCCTCGCGTTCAAAAATTTAATCACGGCACGAATCTCACAGTCAGCGGAAGAACTAATTGTCTTAAACATTTTGAATGTGCACAGCAAACTGAAAACACAACATAGAGCAACCAAAATGGCGACAATTGAAAGTCAGTGAACAAGAAAGACTAGTGCGCATGCGCGGGACACCTACCACAGCGCTGCGATAGCGCTAGAACGAAACGGTACTTAGTTTCCGAATATGCTACGTACAACTTCCTTACTTTTAAATGCTTACTTTAGGAAACTCCAAAATTTCTCTCAAGACATAAGATGACTTTCTTATATTATTTCAGCATTCATACCTACCATATTGATGGGCATGGATTCTCATACTTATTTCACATGGATTCATTCTCATATTCAAAATATCAACCTGTGAAAAGTATTTTTAATAATTTCTACAAATAATAGCATTCTATTCCACAGCAAACATCTGTAAAGGTATTATGAAATTATCTCAAAAATACTATATTCCATGTGAGCTCAATGCACAATCTGAAAACAACTGACTGGCCAAATTATTTTTTAACAAAATGGAAAGTTTTTTTTTTTTTAAAAAAGCTATTTTTTTTACCAAATTAAAAATTTTATTTACTAGATATTTATCAAAACACACATAAACAGTAACAATAATGACATAAAGAAAAAATTTCCAATGTATATTTATTTCCCTGTCTGAAACTTAAAGGCTGGTATCTACAAAACATTTCTGTAAGTTAATTCAAAAAATGTATTGACAGCTAAATAATAAATTTTTAGGTACATTTTATTTGAATAATTCCAATATGTTGAATTAATGACTAAGTAACTTATTTTGAACTTAACTAAAAATATACGAATTACAAAAACTTTCCAAGTGGAACAAAACTTGAGAATAAATAATAACAACCTATTATCTTTTTTATTTATTAAATTTTTCTTTCACACACACACACACACACACAATAAATAAATAAATAAAAAGTGTATACTTGTATGTAAATAATTATAAATTTCTTTACTAATTTCAATCTTGTTAAAGTTTGTAACCTTGGAGAAAAATTACTAAAAATTATCTTTATATGAATTGTAGATGCTCATCAGTCAGTCATTTTTTAAAGAAATATGGGAAATACTGTTCACATTACGAATGTATTACCAAACACAGCAATTACCCTTCTTCCAAAAATTTGTAAGTGGATATTATCTTTTAACAAGTATGATAAAAGGTAAATAAAATCCGCATCTACAAATATTTGAATGAGATTTATATGACAGTCTAAATTACTTGCAGTAGTGTAAATCATTTGTAGATATTTTAGATTTTTACTCAAGCTCTTTCTAATGGTAAAGAAAACAATATAAAACTGGATTTAAAATCATTAAAATCTCAAACCTTTCTCCAAATTCTTCCTAAAAAAATTCTAATTAATTTATGAGAAATTTTATTTGCGAGCTGCATAAAACTGCTTTGTGGGTCGAATGCAGGCTACATAAAATTTCTTTGCAGGTCACATGGAGACTGCTAGTTTGAAACCATTGCCATATGAAATTACATTTACTTGAAAACACAAGTAAAAATTAAAAATGTAGCAACTTTCATCATTATTATAATGATTAACTTCAACACAGCTATGATTAAAGAAATTACTGCTACTAAGCTATAGCTAAAGTAAAAAATGCCAGACCACGGGATATTTTTGCAAAATCCTCAATTGAAACAAAGACATAAATGCACAATATTCCACTGATTCATGGCTTACAGAGGCTTATCTCTCTCAGAACCTGAAGCTGTAAGCAGAAAAAGGCACAAAGATGAAAGTAAAATATACCATAAAAACACTAACAGAAATTTTACAAATACTAAAAAATCTGATACAAATGAAATAACTAAGTCACATTTTACTTTTAGAGTATGAACAACAGTGCACCTTTAGATCTGTAAAAATTTCAGCAGATATTTATAACAGCTGTAGCAAATGTAGCAAATGAAAAATGATAGCAGATAATGTCATAGTGATTTCTTCATGTGTAATGTTGTAGTGTAATGCCATAGTTACTTAATTTCATCAATTCTAATGATGTTTAATTTTTCATTGTTCACAACATTTTCTTTTTGTTTTAAATACTTATTTAGTTTAAACCAAATGTACTCATTTTCCAGATTAAACTGCTTAAAAGAACAGATGAATTGTAAATAGTACTTTTCTAAAATTATAATACAACTTATTCTCCTCTCCTGTGTTTTCAAAATGGCTTTGGATTAATTGTGATTCTACAGAGGATGTCATCTTGGTGAATCGGAAGTTGATCATACCTTCACTGTTTCCCACCATAAAAATCAAGCAAACAACTGTTATATTAAATTGAGTAAAATTCTTTTCATCAAATCTTATTGCATTTTAATGCATTATTTAGTACCTGAAAGTTAACTGGCAGCTGAATAACATCTTTAAATAATTAAACAGTGGAATTAACAGAAACAAATAATGATGGATAAAAACTACATTTTTGAGATCTGAAGCATAAGTTTTCATAAATAATTTTAAGTTTTCAAACAAATAACACTTCCCTTTTGAGATAAAAATTAAAATCATAAAAGGTTTGAATGGCAAAGATAATGAGATAGTGATTTATATTAATGTGTTTCTTTACTTCTGTTACTAATTCAACTTTTAAAATCTTTTGCATAATCCAAACAGTACTTTTATAGAAAAGATAACGTTCGTATTTTAATAAGAAGTTATTTTTACTTTCCATACATTGCATTAAACTTAACGCTTTTTTATTATCTGCATGTAAATATACATCCGCTTAATGAAGTTTCTTTTAAAAATTCCTCTGTATACTTAATTTAAGAGAAATCATTCAATAAATGGAGTAGAACTTTTTTAAGACTTAAAAAATATTACATTTTTGTGAAATTTAGGAGTTTATACATTTATTGTAATTTTATTAGCAGGAATAATATATGAATATTATTGTGGGACATTAGAGTGAATAGATGTTCTTGTTTCTAAGGCTTAAACTTAGTGCACTGATCTGTCAAATAGATAAAGCTGTAAGCGATTTCATTGTTAATGAAATAGAAGGAACACAATCAGGAGTAGGATATAAACGAATCTTTGGATACTAAAACCAAACGATTGATAACATTTAACACATTCTCCAAGAAAAACTAGTAAAAATACTTACGTGATCCAAGTGCCAAACCAAAGATATCCATTTGGTACTGCCGATCTTCAACTGCAGCCCCAGGTAGTGCAATAGTTTTTGAATTTAAAGCTTCTGAATAAATACCAGGATTCAGAATTATTCTCGGTAATGGATTTTCTACTTGTGATGTCAGAGACACACAATCTAACTGCAATAACAATACTTCAGCTTCCTTTTCATTCTTTGGGCATTCCTGATTCAAACTACTGGAAATGGCTATTGAATCATATAATATATTATTTTCAGGTAGGTACAACTGAATGATATTTGTTTCTATGTACAATAATGGCAAATTTTGACTAGAAAATTTTATTCCTATAGGAGACTTATTTTCATTAATAACATTCGTAGAACTGTAACTTGAAGTTCCAAAAGACTTCCAAAATGGATAAAAGATTTGGTGCATAACATCAAATAATGACACCCATAGAATAATATCAAATGATTTTACTTTGATGTCTATTTCACTAATAAACTGAAGTCCACTAGTATGTGCTTTAGCATGTTGCTTTACATTCCACTTCTCTTTTACATTGGAACATAAAGCTCTGGTATATGTGGCAACCAGAAATGGATGATTGTCAGATTTCATATGTTGTCCTAAAGAAACACTTGTGGTATTTACTGCTGACTTAATATTCTTAGACACCATATTATTACCGAAGAGAATAACACCCTTGTATGGTCCAGACTGCCAATCGCTTCTTTCTAATCTGGAAAAGATGAACACATTAACAGGTAAGACATTATTTATTTGGATAACAAATTAAAAACTTTTGCACATAGGCAGTCAGTTTAAGTTTTTGACAAAACATTCAAGTCAAAACACACAACTGTCTGCTATATGACCAATCTTTATAAGGTATTTCTCCTGCCTTCTTAGCATGCCTTTGTGGTGTAGTGGTTAGCACACTAGACACGTATTCAAGAAATCCGTGGTTCGCGTCCCGGTGAGAGCACTGCTCATTTTTAATCTCTCGAACAACCAAAATAGCTAATGTCTCTACAGTGGAGCCTGAATTAAAAAAGGTGGTTGATTATGATTCTCCAGTACTAGGACTTGGTGACTAGGTCCCCTAATCCCCACTCACCATTTAAAAAGGAGAGTATATAAGGTATTTCTCCCACCTTCTTAGCATGTCTTCGTGGTAAAGTGGT